TCTTTGCTGATCTAAGTAGAAATTGACCTAAATTTTCTTTTTATATTGCTTGTTTTTTTTTTTCTTTATCAAAATTTTAAAATCAAAATTATTATTTAGACTTTGTTTTTCTGAATGTAATCTGCAATATCAATAAAATCTACTTTAATCCATGATTTATTTCCTCAAAAAAAAAAAATCAGTTCATTTAAATTATAACAATCCTGTAATTTGTTCATAATTCATAATGAGAAAATGTACCTCCTTGATTCCCAGCCAATTTGCAATGTCACAGGCATTTGCCAGAGCTGTCGAAAGTCCGACCACCCTCAGCTTTCTTTCAGTGTGAGCAGAAATGAAATTGGTCCGAGACACGATGACTTCGAGAACGGGTCCTCGATCTTCGCCTGAAAAATGAACACATTACTCTTCAATTTTTTACTTTAATGAAATCAAATCTCTCCTCAAAATATCAATGTTTTGATCAACAATAAACTCTTTTAAATCTCAGGGCTATCTGACCCATTCCCCAATAATAGTGTTCATAAAGTCATTTTTACATTTGAAAAGGACTTTAGAAGTCATAACTTCCTCTATAAATTGCCAACATGGACAGGAACAAAAGAATATAAATTTCATGATAACTGTTGCATAATGTACTAAATATTTTACACAAAGGGAATTTTAGACATTTTCATAGACATCAAAATAGAAAAAATTCAATATTTTCCAGTTGTGATTTCACATTAAATGATCTTGAAATGATGAATGAAGCATTTAATTCATCAAAGAAAGAGAGAGAGAGAGAGAGAGATAACCGAATTTTATAAATGAGGCTTGCTTTCTCATGCATTCATTTAAATATTCAAGCAAGCAAGAAATATTCTGTACAAAAATTCTATTTCAATAAGGATTTTTTTAGGAAATTTACTCAATTTTAGGGAATTTTCTAAAATGTACAAAAACCAGGATAATTTTTTTTAGTCATCAAAATAGAAAAACAGCAATATTTTCCAGTCATTAAACATACTTGAAATGTTATGCATTATTTTTATTTATAATTTCAAATATTAATAGGCACTTAATTTATAAAGGATAGTCAAAAGACTTTTTAATTAATTTAAATAGAGTTCTGTATAAAAATAAATTGAATATTTTATAACAAAAACACTTTTGAACTGAATTCAATATACGAGGTTCACTTCATTATGTATTAGTAATACTTATTTAAATATTAAAGCAAGCTATAATCTGTACAAAAATTGTATTTCAATAAGAAATTTTCTAAAATGTACAAAAACCAGGAGAATTTTTATTAAACCAGTAGACTAGGAGGAACAGGCAAAATACAGTAGATTTGGCAGCTATGAAGCTACTATTCTCTGTAAGTAAATGTGGCTTTATTCATCGTTAACAGGATAATTTTGTGGAATTTAAGAAAAGCTTATAGTGGTAAAATTGAGGACAATTTAATCACAGATCCAAACTAACCTTCTTTAGAGATTTTACAGCATATAAAATTAACATTTGCTTTTTTCAAATATATTTTCCCTTTAAAAGCATTTGACTCGCAAGTAACTTTTTTTTCATAAATAAATGTAAATTTTGCATTGAATCTGGTCGTTTTAAATTTCTTCTTGCTACAAGTGTTGATGATGCAGAGAGCTTTTCAAAATATTAAAATTAGGTTAGGAACAGGTAATCTTTCAAAAAATATTTGAAAACACGATTTCTACTAAAAGTTAAGTTATATTTATTTCTTAAAGGTAATCATTTACATTTTATTTTATTCATAAATTATACATTTATTTCATTTTACATCTTATTTTTCATGAAATTTATAAATACAAGTTATAATTCAAATTTGCTTACTTTTTTACAAGAAAAAAAAGAAGGGAAACGAATGTAAAACAGTGTTTACAGAAGTTTTCTTCTTAAGGTTTTTGAGTTTTTTATAAGAATTATGGTCATCAATATTTTAGCTCTGATGACAAATAATGAACATTGTAACTGTATTTCTAAAAAAATAAATAAATCTGTTTTTATTTCAAGTTTTTCATTTAGCTTGCTTCTACATTACAGAGCAGCTAACATATTTTTAATTTGGTTGAGTTTCGTTAATTCTTGCTGAACAAATGATGAGAAAAAAAAATTCAATTATCAAAAAATATATTGTTATACCTAACAAATGAATTTCATCAATGACAATGAGAGCAACTGCTTTCACATAATTTCTAGTCTGCCAACTTCTGCTGACGCCATCCCATTTTTCTGGCGTAGTCACAATGATGTCTGCTCGGGCAATAGCATTTGCATCAGGTGTCACATCTCCAGTCAACTCAACAACACTGCAAATTATAAATAAGTCGGATCAGAATACTTTTTCCATTGGCATTACATATCCCCTAATGTTAATTTGAATTCCTATGTTAAGAGTTTCACCTCAAATCCTTGTTATGCTGAATGTTTTTTGACTTAAAAAGTGAATATTTTCAGAAAAATCCCCACTTTTTGACACTCAACATTACTGTCTCCAAATACAATTCTTTAAATATGCAACAGTATGCACAGAATAACCCCAAAAAGATTTAAAGAGCTTTACTTCATAATACAATAACAAAAAGCAATAAGAAAAAAAAATATCAGTAAACAAAAGTAAGTAAAATAGATGTTTAAAAACAATATGCATTTAGTGGATGGTCCCTCAGATAAAACATTGTGTTTAAGAAACTCAATTAATTCTTATCTGTATTAAATTAAATGAATAAAAGGGAGAGGAAAATTTTGAGGTTAGTAAGCTTTGTGATTCTTGACTGCTCTGAGGATCAACATGAAAATGTGTACTTAGTGAATGGTCTTACTAATCTATAAATAGAATAGCGCAAGAAGATCATTAGCTTGCCATTGACGAAGACTTCAATAACGATTATCAATAACGCACTTCAATGACGACGAAATTAACAAGAGAAATAAAACTTTCTTTTGCCATTAAAATTTGGCAGTGTTTAGTTGGTCCCCGAAAATTCGAGAGAAGTTTTAATTCCATTTCAGAGAATGGAAAATGAAGCCTGATATTGAGAATATCTTGCAAAATGAAGCAGAGTTGCACATGAGAGTGCAAGAATTCTTCCCACTGACTCCAGAGCAACCCCCCACATGGCAGTAGCTTGGTTACCACAAAATTGTGACTTGGAGATGCCTAGGGGGAAATATCCTTTTTGGCGCAGATCGGAGCAATTTAAGACAACTACTTCAATTTGGAGCATGTAGGCGCAGGTTTTCACAATTGGCGCGGATCGGCTCAGCACTTGCACCACTGCCGTTGTTGAACAGCCAACCCAATTTTTGGGTTTACGACTACTAATGTTCAACTCCACAGCCTTGTAATTTTGAACACAATCCAGAAGACAAGGGAACTCCTGGATCAAGTATGAGGAAAAATTTGCCTTTGTGGAGAATTTTTGATGGAACCAATCCGCATCAGAGTTACATGGAGAAGAAAACCATGAAAATCTCCTATGGTTAGCTCGAAGGCAAGGGGACTTTAACCCATGATCCGTCTACCATTGAGGATATTTCACGCTAGCACTGTGGTCGGTGCAAGCCAGATGCAGAATTCGTATTAACCAGCCATCTTTGGGATTTGAACCCAGTTCTCCTCATTGAAAGGTGAATGCTCGATACCCTGAGTCACCCAGACTGAAGTACATATGTTAGGATATAAGTCGCTGAACAGCCGACCCTATTTTAGGCTTACGGCTGCTAATGTTCAGCTCTGTAGTCTTGCAATTTTGAACCAATCCAGAAGACAAGGAAACTCCTGGATCAGTACCCCCAGAGGCATTGATTTGTTATGGGAACATGGAGGACTTTGGGACTCAAGAGATTTAATGTGCATCAGTAACCATTTACTACATGGGGAGTCTTTGGCCGGCCTGGGATTGAACCCACAAACTCTTGAACATGGGCACAGTGCCCTACCAACCAGGCTATCCTGGTCCAAGTACATAAGTTTGGAAAACATCAGTTCAATGGAAAAAATGTTGTTCATAAACATATAATAAAATCTGTTCAATTAAGAATAAAGAAAAGCTTACCTTTTTTTAAGATTTTCTCCAAATCGAACTCTCCAGTCTTCAATTCTTTCTCTAACTAGAGCTTTAAGAGGTGCAATGTAAACAACCTTTATTAAAAAGTACAAATTCATGCAAAAAACCATAAATGATGTTAAAAAATATAGACACTCACATAAACAGCATACACAGTAAAGAAAAAAAAAAGATTAAATCAAAAGTCTTTTATGGATTAAAAATGTACTAAGAGAAATGCACTGGAATAGCACATCTGAGAGTTTGAACTAATTTTAATCAGTTATGACTCTTGAAATCAGTAATTATAATTATAGGAAATAACTTCAGTAAAATAATAGTATGAAAAAAAAAAGCCTAAATTTAAATAGATATATACTTATTCTAATGACAGTACATTGAATAAATCTTAAAAAATACAACCACAATTGCATTAGAATTAAATTTCAAACTCCTCAATTCACAATAAAATAACTTAAAATCAACAATATAGAATTATGTTACCATGATGAATATTTTCTATGTTTTTAATTATTTGTTAGTTTTTATTTAAGTTGAATCTAAAATTCGTTTTACTTTATTCATTTTCATATCCATACACTTAAACCAAGTTCAGAAATAAACAAACAATTGATATAGAGATGTGAATTTCAACTATCTGACAAAAAGAATTAATACATTTCATATATTGAGCTTTTTTTAATTTCATATATTAAATTTCATACATTAAATTATTTTATTTCAACTCAGGGGATAGAGTTCTCGCTGCTCAATGAGGTGACCGGAGTTCGATCCCAGCGATAGCTGGTCGATTCGAATTCTGCACCTGGCTTGCACCGAACACAGTGCTGACATAAAATATCCTCAGTGGTTGACGAATAATGGGTTAGAGTCCACTTGCCGTCAGGCTAACTGTGGAAGGTTTTCAAGGTTTTCCCTTCCATGTAATGCAAATGCAGGTTAGTTGTATCAAAAGTTCCTCCACAAAAGGCAAATTTCTCCCAATACCTTATCCAGGAGTTGCCTTGTTTTTCGGATTGGGTTCAAAATTAAAAGGCTATGGAGTTGAACATTAGTAGCCTTAAACCCTAAATTGGGCCTGCTGTTTAACAAATGTTATAAAACAAAATTTCAAATATTAAATATTTTAAAAATAAACAGTAGAATTTCCTTGGTAAATATGTTTACAGTTGCAAATTAAGTTTAAAGATAGAAACAATGAACAACAAATTTTAACAAGAAGAAAATGATATGAAGTGCCTTTTGACATCATTGATAACAGTGAGTGTTAATTTTAATAGTAAGTTCTAAAGAACATAAATTAGGGGGCATGATAGACATGTGGCTAACTACAGGTGTATTTCTTTAGAAGTGTGCTTAAGGATAGCTAAAAATAGTGCAAGATTCTTTTTTGTAAAGAGGAAGATAACTTAGATAGTGGTCGCCCACACATTGGTTGATAAATAAGGAGTAAAAATTTTCTAGAGGGAAACAATGCTCGCTTTACGCTTTTTTACATTGATACTGGAAATAAGCAAACATGTCTTCTATTCAAACCTTTCTCATATAAAAATTGCTAATTTAAACAGCAGAAAAAATTTATTTCCCTAAATTTTTTTTCCTCACTATAGTGGAAGGCTAGTATTTCAAACTTTTATGACTTGCAAATTTGACATAATAACTGACTTCTCCTAATGTTCTGTACCTGTTACATTTAGCATATACTGCATTCTAAATTTTTAATTAAGTTTTTTAAACATTATTTTGTTTCAAAATTATAAATTAGTATGTACATTAAAATTATTAGTTTTGCATACTTTTAAGAAGTTATTTTTAAACTTTAATCATTGAATTTCAGAACTGAAAGAGAATTGCGAATGAGAACTTAGTTGTTCCTGAAACTTTACATCCACGTACGGAAGTGCATTACACCTGATCAGAGAAGTTACAGGGCAAAGTTTCAAAACTGAGGCAATCTCCACCTATCAGGCTGTACTTGGATGTAAAAATTTCAGGAACAACTTTTAAAGTTCTTTTTCAATTCTCTTCAGTGGTGTAGTTTTGAGAAGGGTTTGGGGGAGAAAACCCCTTCCGAAATTATACACTACTTGATTAATGGGCTAGTCGGTTCGGTAAGTAAGATGTAGACTTTTTTTCGTCATTCAAACCTTGAATATATATATATATATATATATACAGTCGAACTCGTTTATAACGAACACAAAGGGACCGTAACATGTACTCGTTAAATCCGAGTGCTCGTAATAAACGGGTCCTTAAGGCAGACGTGCAACCAGAAGAGGGGGGGGGGCTTGGGAGGTCAAATGATTGAGTTGACTTAAAATTTAATTAATACTTACTTACTTTAATTACATTAATTAATTTAATTAAATATTTATCTTAATTTAGTGACAACTAACCCCTCCCCCCAAACCAGCAAAAAATTTCTAGTTGCGCTACAGTCTTAAAGGAAAGGAAATATAAACGGAAAGAAAAATAAAGGAAAAGATTCTTACCAAAACATTTATTTTTTTCATTAATCTACATATTTAAAATAGTTTGTCAGCTTACTTTTAACTCGCGCATTTCATATCATTTTGAAAAAAAGATAAGACAGAAAGACTAGAAAGATGAGAAAAAAGATTGCAAGACAGAAAAATATTGCTCGCTAAAACCGGGTCTTGCTCGTTAAAAGCGACTTCTGTTCCATAGACTTAACATTGATCCAACCAAATATTCTCGTTTCCCTCGGTAAATCCGAGTTCTCGTTAAATCCGAGCTCGTTATAAACGAGTTCGACTGTATATATATATATATAGCTGCAAACTTGTACTGCTGTTGAGAAAAAAACTTCTTAGTAGTAGCAATATTATAGCAGTTTGACGTATCAGTTTAAAGTTTCAATCAATCTTCAGTTTAAAGTTTCAAACAATTTTTTAATCATGACAAATCAATAATTAAAAAATATATAAATATGATCTATTTGTTAGCTTACTTAGCTCTTCAATGTTTAATTAGTTTAACTATTAATAAAAATTTTTCGAATTTTGCTTGTTCGTTTACTACCACTTAGTAAAATCAGTGACCGCACAAGTCGGCAGGTCAGAAAGCGTAACGCCCCTCCAAACATACAGTAATAACTACACCACTGATTCTCTTCAGCTCAATTAAAATCCTTATTTACCTTTGAGGCTGGATATTCATTGAAAATCCGGAACATGGCGATTTCAGCCGCTATGGTTTTTCCTGAACCAGTGGGAGCACCAAGAAGTACATTGTTGTCCGTGTAGTACAGAGTATGAAATATCTGTGACTGAACAGGATTAAAATAATCAAACTTATACAGGCTCTCATACCTTTCATTTTTAAGAACAGATTTGGGCAGAGGTGTCAGTGTTAACAGCTCTAGAAATAAAGAATTAAATTTATATTATTCTATAACAGATAATCTTTAAGTGCAAAATTATTTGAAGAAATTTAATGAGCTACAGTTAGACAATACATCGTGAAATATAATTTTGGTCCAATTACTGCAATAGCCATATTAAAAATATATTCTCACCATATATCGTAAATACGATAAATAAATACCAACATGTGATACAGTCGCACTTGTTTATCTTGAATCTCACGGGAAAGGCAAAAAAAATTTGAGATAAAGAGGTTTCAAGTTATACTATACAGGTACTTCAAAATTCTTTGAAAAATTATTTTTTAAAGTCCAACCTTCGTTGTTTTGATAATTCTTTTAAGGTTAGAAAGAGCAGCAAATCCCCTATAGCCAATATTTTCTTAGGATTCAAGAAAAGTTTGTAAGAGATCCACAGCTTTTGCTGCTCCTTTTGCTCTCTTTCTCTAACTGTTTTCTACAGTTCACTTTAAAACTCCTAATTAACCTTTAATCCATTGGTTGCAATTTGGAGGTGAAAATGAATTTCTATTCTTAGCTTTCTTATGTATGTTGAAAAGCTAACCCCTGGTGGTCACTCTATCCTACTCATCAACCCTTCACTTACTGCCAAAATCATTGTATTCTTCTCAAGTTAAGGGAGTGCAGGGACAGGGACTGAAATTCCAAGAAACACCCCCAACCTGTTCATCTCCACTTCCTGTGAGTTCACGAGATTTATCTCTGTCTGCAAGTTCTACTGATAAAGAAAGTTATGTTGTTTAGACATGGGTGCTCGATTTTTAAAAATTTGAGAAACGGAGGTTTTGAAAGAAAAAAAAAGGATCGATATAAATATGGAAAATACATTGATTTTAAATAGTAAATGTAGGGTACTTTAGAAATTTCAAGATATACAGGTTTTCATGATAAAGAGGTCCGAGATAAACATGCTCAACTCTAATATAAAAAAAAATATGCATTCAATAAATACTTACACTCGATAAATTACAAAAATATTAACAATTCATAAAAACCAAAAAATACCTATACTCCGTAAATATCGACTACATCTTAACCCAATGAGTACAACATTCTCTCATCGGGAAGAATTTTCCCCCCCCACAGTCTAAGGACATTGGCGACTGCTTGCGATGCAATGCAAAATACCGATATTTTCTGGCAATATCACATTATAAAAATTCTGATATAGCTTAGCACTACATAATCCTTTAACTGTTCTTCTTTTTTGCCAGAAATGTTGACAAAAAAAAGCATATTTTTTTTAGTATAATTGCTATTTACAATTATTTTGAGTATAGTTATGCTAGCATTTTTAATTCTTTTCTTATGAATGTTTACATTGGTAAAATAAAACTTAATTCGAATCTTCTTATGATTATAATAACGAGATAATTCAGCAAAAAACATTTAAGGTGCGGATATGGGCCCATATTAAGTTGGAGGCAACATTACTTTTGGTTTGACAGGGTGCATAGCCAAATCTTTCAACAAAAAATAAGCACCTCTTAAGTACTTTTCAAGCACTCAAAAATATTTTTACGCACTATATACATTAACAAACTGCAAAATAATTTTCAAAGACCTGACATGATAAAACAACTAGTTTAGACTAATGGAGGAGATTTAACTTTGAACTGCACTAGATTAAAATAAATAATCGGATGGGCACACGTGATTCGAATGAGGGATCTTGCTTTTTTTTTAAAAAAAAAAAAAAATATTGCCTTTTAGACCCACTGGAACAAAGAAGCGGGAAAGGCCGCGGTTGAGATGGGCTGATTCAGTGGAGTCTGATTTTTCTCGCAATTAATGAAAAGAATTGGAGGTCAAAGAAAAATCGGAAGTCGTGAAAGAGAAATCTTCAGAGGACGGCATTGGGCTGTCTGTCCAACTATGATGACGATGAAGTTTGAATAACAATATTTTTTTTAAGTCATTTAACAAATCATTTTCCAAGACATTAACTGTTCTATAGTGGTGAAAACAAAAACTTGGAGATAAAACTACATTCAACGAAATTAAAAAGGTTCTTTCAATGTTATGCACAAGGGAGTTTAGTAGAATTTTTTATACAAAGAGTTTCAGTACTCAAATTATATATTATTGCATTGCACTACAAATTAGATATTCTCCTCATAACTACAAGGATCTTCACAAATTACCCAATAATAATATAGTACTATATGTACATATAGGTACTCAAGGCAACGAGGAGGCAGATCGAGCAGCTAAGAAAGCCATCAATCTCTGCCAAATTACCCTTGAGATCCCAAGCTCCATTGCCCAAATTATAACTCAGGTTAAATTATATAGCATGAAGCGCTGGGGGCTGGAATGGCGGAGTTCCGAGAAAGGGAGACAGACATACAATTTTTTTAAAGACCCGGAATTAAATAGACTACAAGCAAACTTCTATTTCAATCAATTTTTAACAGGCCACAGAGTGTTTGGAGAGAAGCAATATAAATTATTCCACAAAACTCCAGAATGTAATTACTGTGGTGAATATGAATCTATTGATCACTTGTTAATGAATTGTTCTCAATTCCAGACACTTCAGGGCAATCACTTTAATAATATTAGTCAATATCAATGCTATGCTAACCTGACTTGCAGAAATATCATAAAAAAGATTATTTAACAAACTTTACCAGATGTATTGGGGGGCGGTCTTTAATGGTCTCGGAACCTGCTCATTCCAGCTTGGGTGTCTCAATTTTATTAATGGTATAGTTTTGTAACTTTTACTATGTCTTTTATATAAACTCTTCTACTTGCTCCAATTTTATTGTAATTACTTTTGCACTATTTAATTGGTTTTAAAAGTACTGTTTTAATATGTTACACTATGTTGTTCTTTTGTAAATTTTGCATGTTTATCTTTTAAATTGTTCTTTTAACTGACACTTTTAATATATTGCTGTTTTAATGTTTTATCACCTTACCCTAAATAAGGGAGGGTTGGAGAAAATTATTTTCCATACTACTATATGTAACTACTAATCTACAGTAGCGCTTACATCTTCTTAAACAGGGTGCACAGCCAAATTTCTCAACAAAAAATAAGCACCATTAAAGTACTTTTTAAGCACTATAAACATTGACAAAATGCAAAAGACTTTACATGATCATGATAAAATAACTAGTTTCTGACAAAGAACTCTTATCTTGATTATATTAGCAACCACAAAAAAATAGAGAGATTTTTTTGTTCGATTTCAGAGGGTGGAAAATGAAGCCTGAAATTCAGAATATCTTGCAAAATTCAGCAGAGTTGCAAGTAAGAGTGCAAGAATCTCACGAACCTAGCTCAGTAGGAGCACATGCGAACTCCCAAGTATTTTATCAAACATGCAACATGATTGGCGCTATCATACATTACGGACCAACGGTACGTCGGCCGAAATAGATTGTGGTTGAATGAATTGTGAAAATATTGAATAAAACGATGAGAAAACCAAGCTTTTGCATAATACACAGCGAAAATTGACACGATTAAGAAGGAAAAAAATCTCATTTTCGAAAAGGGCCAGCATTTCAGCATTTTTTAAAAACCCGCCATGAAAAAAAGCACCTTTAAGGGATGTAATGTGTTGTAAATAATTTATCCAGGTAGGAAATAACTACATATCCTTTTCATATTTCCACAACACAAACAAATATAACAATCAGACAAAAAAAACTATATAAAAATTGTTTTATGTGGTGAGTGCATTTATATAAATGTTGAAATTTTTGGTAAGCAAGATTTCATATGCATATTATATCTTTCGATATTTTACAAACTTCTGAAACTTATGTATATATAAATATGTATAAGAAGAATTAAACGTTTCTAGGATGTTAAATTTTTTCTTATGGCCTGGTGATGATTCGAGAACACCCCTCACAACATTTTATTTTTGAAAGTAACGATATGGATATCAAAGTGATTAACTATGTGTGATCCACAATACTAACTAACTGTGCTCCATAATAATGATAATCGATAGTGATAACTGTCACCCATAACAGTGAATTGTGATCCATAATAGTGATAATCCATAATACTAATAAACCCTTTGCAGAAATGATTCAAGAACCATCATGAACTTAAAGTCATATAAACATCCATACGTCTTGCTAAACTTTTCAGAAATAAATTGCTTCTTTCAGAATGATGATGAGAGAACTCAGTTGGTTACTTACCTCATGGAAAGTTTTATTTTTTTGTCCTGTTTATCAGGAAAGACAAAGTCTGATGGTAGGAGGAGTCTGTGAGAGTGAGTTGGGCACGCCAGTGTTGGGGAGTGGAACTATTCGGTGAGGAGAGGAGAGTTCTAACTGGAAGTGAAAACATTGCTTTGAACATTTTCTCTCTCGGAATAAATTTTTATATTATTTTTTTTTGTCTAATTGTTACATTTGCTTATGTTGCGGAAATATGAAAAAGATATAATAAATAATAGTTATTGCCAACCTGGATAAATTATTTACAACACATTACAGGACTTTTAAAAATGAAAATAAGCACCTTTAAGCACTTTTTAAAAACGCTATGCACCATGTTAAATATATTGTTTTGAAAGTTCTTAGAAGTGATGTCTCAAGAAAAGTGTGCTACAAACCTGTGTGTGTTTGGCGATGCTGAGGCAAGATCAAATTATCAAATGGAAATGAAAATTCCCTGTTGGATCCCAACCAACGATCAGAGACTGCATGAATTATATAACATGAAGGCTGCTCATCTCTCCTCAGAGGAATTGTAAACACCAATGTTTGAGCTTCTTTAAATTTCACCTTAAAAGGAAAAAAAAAACTTTTTTAGACAACATCACAAGCGATTTACTTTCAATACAACTGACTTTTCATGTAAGTTAAAATAAACCTATCATCTCGTTGGTGAGCCCGTTATTTTGCACACAGCTCAAAATGTGTGTAGAGAAAATGACAAAAAATACAGTTTTTCATCCCAAACACATGGTGCATAGCTAAATTTTTCAACAAAAAATAAACACCTTTTAAGTACTTTTTAACCACTTATAAAATATCTTTATGCACTATATACATTAACAAAATAATTTTCAAAAACTTTACATGGTCATGATGAAATAATTAGTTTCTGACAAAGAATTCTTTTCTTGATTATTATAGCCACCATAGAAAGATATAAACAGGGTGCGTAGCCAAATTATTCAACAAAAAATAAGCACCTTTTAAGCACTTTTCAAGCACTCAAAAGATATTTTAAGCACTTAAAAAAATATCATAAATGGGCAGGGTTGGAAAGTTTTTGACAATTGACGGTTTTATCTTGTTTCAACCGTCATGTCAAAAAAAAAAAACTTTCGGCATTGTTTTTGACAATTGTTAAAAATTATGAAGTTAATATAAAACGAATAGTGTTTTCATACGCTACTGACTGACAATACGACGAAATAGATTGGGGTTGAATGAATTGTGAAAACGTTAGATAGAACAATGTGAACTGTGTCTTTTTGCATAATTCCCAGCTAAAATCAACATGATAAAGGAAAAATCTAATTTGAAAAAGGGAAAATTAATCACTTTTTAAAACACCTAATGAGAAAAGCACCTTTTAGGGCTTTTGAAAAATGAAAATAAGAACCTTTAAGCTTTTCTTTAAAAATGCTACGCACCCTGTATAGAGATCTTTGTGCTTGAATGAATTGTGAAAATGCCGAATAGAACAATGTGAAAACCACGTTATTGCTTAATACACGGTGAAAATCGACATGGTAAAGAAAAAAAACTCATTTTCGAAAGGGAAAATTAAGCACTCTTTAAGAACATCCCATAAAAAAGTACCGTTAAGGGCTTTTAAAAACAGAAAATAAGAACCTTTAAGCACTTTTTAAAAACGCTACATACCGTGAAACATTACCCATATTTTTTTCAAAGGGTGGCGAGCCTGTTATTTTGCACACAGCTCAAAATGTATGTTTAAAAAAAAAAAAAAAAATACACCTTTTTATCCTAAATTTAATAACTAAACGTGGAATTTCGTACTAGCTTTTACTTACTTGTTAAAATATTAGGCATTATTACTGGGCAAAACCTTGATTTTCAGAGTTAGGTATATTACAGATGTATGCAACTTTTCAAGTGATCTTTTCATTTTTAGATCAACAAACAATAAAGTGGTTCTTAAAAATAAAAATTCCAAAAATGTAAATTTACTACTATTATCAAATATATGTACTAATTTTTAAAAAATGTGGTAAGTGATTTCCGCAAATGAGTGACATCACATTACAAGCATATTTGGATTCATTAGTTCATTCTTTAAAAAGCAAACAATGCTAGAAAAAAAAGTTACAAAATCAGAATAAAATACTATCTCCATTTTATAAATATTTTGAGCTGTGTCCATTTTCTTTAAGGTATATTTTAAGCTATGTCCATTTTCTTAAATGCATTATTTGAGCAGTGTCTATTTTTTTTAAACAAGCACCTTGAGTTATGTCAGGAATAAAAAATTTACCTCTTTTTGGGGAAATATGAATGCTCAGTATCAAAAGAAAGAGAATATTTCATTTTGGTGGAATGTTTAAGTATAATAAAATAATCATATTTATTGCATATAATATGATATTTGAAATTTCTAATCTTTTATGTTGTCTATAAAAGTATATTAATAAAAAGTGCTTCATACTCTTTTTAATGTTTTGCCACACGCTTGATGTATAACAACAAGTTATCCAACTATTTTTCTATCAGAAGTCTTATCCACGCAAATTATATTATTTTTTGTTTAAATTTACATTTTTCAGACAGATATTATCCATTAATTTTGTTTCATAAGTTTGCTTACAGCTCACAAATCTAAATTTTTGAAACTAATTTTCTTTGCTAGAAAGGTCAGTAGGTACTTTATTTACGTAGCACTAGAGCTGCACAATAGGCTATAGGTGACAGTCTAGAAAACATCCCTGTGGGTGATCCAAAGACATGTCATTGCAGTTTTGATGAGCCGAGAGGGGTGGGCTTAGCTGAAAGTGGTCACCCACCCGCTTACTGACCGCAACCACTTATGTTTGACTTCTGTGTTCTACTGGGAACTGTGTCGTTACGATCAGTCCACTGTGAGACTTTCTTTGCTAGAATAATTGTATCATCTATTTATAATGAAAATAATATACTAATGTTTGTGGAAATAGCAACATCAAAAAGGAATTGTCAAAAATGAAAAAAAAAATTATTTTACTTATTACTGATAGTGGTATAAATAAATTATTAAATTTACAATATAAAAAAGAAATCAAAGAAGAAAATCAGTATTCTGCGTATCAGCCATGCTGAATGTTAAAAACCTGTACACGGCTTGGCTTTAAATCATAAACGATCTATCTGAATGTAATTCTGGGTAAGTCTTGTTCGATATTCAGATAACATAGACTACCAACATGGGTGGGAAAACATCCAGCAGATTTTACGGAATAACACAAATTTCGTGGTAATTGATGCAGAAGGCAATATATATTTTACACATGGGAAATTTTATGGATTTTTATAGTCCTCAAAATAGATAAACTGCAAAATTTTACAGTTATGATTGACAAAGTGAACTTGAAATGTTACATATGAAGTTTACACATAATTTTGAATGGAAATATGCATCTAATTCATCAGAGATAGTTATGACGTAGGAGTTCTTTTTTTTAAAATTAATTTAAAATGGAGCTCTGAATAAAAATAAACTGAGCATTTTAGAACAAAAAAGTTTTAAACTGATTTGTATAAATGTGGCTCGCTTCATTATTTATTAATAAACACTTACATCAAGCAAGTAATAATCTGTGCGAAAATTCTAATTCAATAGGGATTTCCTAAGGAAACATACTCAATTTTAGAGAATTTTCAAAAATGTACAAAAATAAAGAGAGCTTTTTATTAAACCAGTAGAGTTAGGATGTACGAGGTTATATATCCCATCTTAGATGACCTATCTTAGAGAGGTAACACAAAAAATTAAAATATATGCTGAACATTAAGAATTAACACCAAATGCTTAAGATTACCCATCTTTAAGAGTTAAAACATTAAACTACATGTTAAAAATTCAGAGTTAACACTAATGTAACACTAATCATACCATAGCCGGTCAAATGACCGTCTAAGAACTTTTGTATCGAAAATGCGCATATCATCTTATCGGTTTTGCACAATTGACTTCATGACTTTTTCTATCAATTATACACAGTTAATATTCTATCATTATTTTTGGATTTTGTTTCCTTCGAATAATACTTGTTGTATACCTATTTCTACCACAACCGGTCATTTGACCGGCAGAACAACGTATTGCTTTATAAGTTTATCGGACCAGAAATTATGATGTTATACGTGTTCAACGTAATGCATTCGATTATAGTTGCACATTTCTGCAAAGACTATTGCATAATTAGTTCAATCAGAATAACTGTGAATTCAAATTTCAAGCATGACTTAAAATTTTGAATTGGCATTTTTGTGTAAGAAAAAAAGTGACAAAAACTAAATGTTTTGGTCAGTAGCTTTATATTTTATTTTGATAGCCATACATCATTTCTAACTAATTGTTAGTTTTTACCCAGAAAAATGTCGAAACAATCAAAGCAGCACAAGTAGAAATAAATAATACAGGCAAAGAGTTTTCTGAAATTGAAGAAGATGGATTTTCTGAAAATGAGGATACACTGGTTGGAAATGATGAGTTTGAATATATATCGTTTGAATATACATCAAAATTTGTTCAAATTGTGAAAAATATGCTTGAGGAAAAAGAACAACGGAAACACCCTGTATGTGTAAAATATGCGTTGAGCAATTAAAAATTCTTATTCTTGGTGTCTGTAATACATGAAAGTTGGCAAAATACAATTTTGTTTAATTATAATAAAGCTTTTTTTTGTTTATTTCCTTCCTAACATCCATATTTCATACATTCAATCAAGAAGCATAAAGTCCGGTCATTTGACCGGCTATGGTAGAAATAAGTATAAATTAAGTATTTTTATGTTTAGTGTTAACTCTAAATGTTTAGGAAAATCTGTTTATGGCAGTTAACAGAAAACATTAAACTACATGTTAAACATTCAAGGATAACACAAAATTAACTCTAAATGATTACTTGTTTTCGGGGCAGTATGAAGTACTCAAAATGGTAAATACGATCACTATCTGGATCACAAATCCATATCCAGAAATAAGTATAAATTAAGTATTGGTATGTTTAGTGTTAACTCTAAATGTTTAAGAAAATCTGTTTATGGCAGTTAACAGAAAACATTAAACTACATGTTAAACATTTAAGGATAACACAAAATTAACTCTAAATGATTACTTGTTTTCGGGGCAGTATGAAGTACTCAAAATGATAAATACGATCACTATCTGGATCACAAATCCATATCCAGAATGCTTCTGATCCAGAACCATGATGCTTATCAGACCACACAAAATCAGGTTCAATATTCAAAGTTATTCGAAGTATGCAGTCTGTAATAGGCTGGACAACAGGAGTGATTAACAAATTGGGTATGTACTGCAGACAAGTCTTGATAGTGTGCCTCTCTCGAAAACAGCGTGTCATGATACCTGCAATAAAACTGAATGTTAAGAAAATATATATATTTGTTCCATACTTATAAAAACTGACATCAATTAAATTTAACGAGGCACATTCAAATTAATTGAAAAGTAACAATATATTATGCAGTTTATATCTACCACTACAAAAATATAATTCCAATTTACTAGTATATAAGACATGTTAACTCGATTCTATGGTAGGGTACCTTCTCATAGATGAAGGTTGACATTGTCAAAAACTACTATCCCCACATTGGTGACCCGGAAGTGATGCGAACAAACCTACCCTGGCAGAAATGCCAACTACGTTTTGAACAAGCTTACTTCGATGGATGATCCACTCATTGAACAGCTGACTTGCTACTTGTGACTGCGACATTATCCACCTCCTCGCGCTGCCTGCTACTCAGTCTCGATTACACACAACGTCGGCTTGTGTACAATCGACTGCTGATGGCAACACAGGAGGGGCTACTATCGTGAACTTAATACAGTTCTCACGATCAGCATAAAAAAGTACGGCAATCTTAATACAGCTCTCCTGGCTTCTCGCAAAACAGCAATGAATTAAGTAGTGGTATTCGTTCATCGAATTTCATCCCAGATATAATTCTGGTGGGGGAGTACAGTAGTGTATCTACCACAACAAAAATATAATTCCAATTAACTAGTATAAGACACGTTAACTCAATTCTATGGTGGGGTACCTCTTCATAGATGAAGGTTGACACTTCGCCCCACACATTATAAATGAATTATAAACTCATGTGTCCCAAAACTCATGGTAAACATGTTAGAGGGTAGAACAAAACTAGGTAAACACAAATTATTATACAATCCATGGCCAAAACGCAAGCTGTAACATGTTGTGTCAGGAAATGATGTCAACGGAATACAAAACGAACAGAGATAGAATGAAACAAAACTGATAAAATAAAGAAAAATATTTTATTCCACAAAAAGAAATTAAATAACACTAAGTCTCCCATCACAGGAACTACTCAAAATTCACAATATCTTTTATCATATCATACTTATATAATAAAAGGCGTTACACACATCCACATTGTAATGGACTGGTACATGCAACAGCAAAGTGGCATTAGGACGCAAGGTCACGTGGGGACCGAAGCACGGATTAATAATGTAATTGGATGTTGTCCCATCACGCTAAAACCTCATGCATGTGATGTGAGCTGGAACACGGTTTAATAATTATAATAAACGCCTCTTGCAAAAACACAAAGTATGAATCCCATCCAGGCGTATTGGCAGTAGGAATGGCCCCAATCAGACTATCGTGCATAATTACAGCACAGACAGTTAGTGCGAAACTAAACATTGCTGGAATGAAGAGGGACACATTGAGTATGGGTTTTCCAGTTGTCCACACATGTTATTTGAAATACCCTCACACGTGAAGATGTATTCGTCAGTGAACAACATATGAACTCCTGATCCACAGTCATCTGTTAGAGAAACCATGTGGCAAAATTGACAAATACCTGGAAATCTGATGGTCCTGAACTCTCTGTGCATGGTAGAGATGTATTTCTTTATCTCACAACAATTGCCATACCTTATTAGGGGAAACAAGTGAACGGCTTGGGACAATGCTAGATTCAGGCCTCTCGCTGATACGGCGCACAATGTCGTCTATTACAGGGGGCGTTTTTTCACTCCTGCATGCAACATGAAAAGAAACCCCTTTCACACATTTGTTGGTCTTACATCTTAGGATCAGGGATGCACCCTGTTGGAGTATCGGTCCAATTATTGAGCTTCCCATACATTGCTGCCTAAACTTCGTGCTTGCAATGCACCCCCCATCCTTCCCCCACAGAGCAAATGAAGGCACATGCTGAGAACAGCCTTTTTATGGCTTTTGCTTGGAGGCATCTTCCACAGTTGGGAACCAATTACAGTAATTGATTACAACTGTAACTGATAACAGATAGTTACACTTACATAATCATAATTACAGGTAATAGCAATCAAAAGTTACAAAAATTTTTTTGCCAATATTGTAGACTCTACAGCGTAGAGTGTTACCTAACCTTATAATGTAGTGATGCATGTTTTATAAATTTATAAGTAAATCATGAAAGCAATATTAAGCAAGAACAAAGAAAATGTAAACATAATATGTGATGTAAGTAATGTTTCATATTGAGTTGCCTTATTTGGGCACTGATGTATTCTTTGATTGTTTTTATCCTGATATTCCTGATCCCTGAAATTCAAAAAAAAGTTTTAAACTTAAAGAAGTTTTTGAAATTGTTTTTTTTCCCTCCATGTTTAACACAAGTTATTATTAAGGTTTTGGCATAAAATGACAAAATTTCCTGAAAATTTCAGGTTTCTCTGATAATGTGTCAACCAGGGTTGGCAAGGTTTAGGACAGAATGGATTAATCCACGGCTTAAACCCTGGTTTAAACTGTCCTGTCCAAAACCCTTTTACAATTTTATTTGAATTATGTTACAATTTTATTTGAACAATATTTAAAAGGTAAAATAAACATAGAACTAATAACATATTGATAATTAAATCTACTAGAGAATATTTGTTTTTATTAAAAGTATAATGTTTCATTAATATTGTTTGACTCTTCAACTTTAACATTAAACAAAGGATTATTAATCAGTAATTATGTTCAATTGGTCCTCTCATTCAATAGTACATAACTGAAGCTTGACCTTGCCATACAAGTTAAGCTATTAGGGGGTTAATCATTAACAGTTTTATTTATCTATAGTACTATTCAAGAATACTTTTATTTCATTCATGTTCGATTCTCTTAGCATAGTGGTGATACATCAATGTCAGTAACTGAAACTGATGTTATGCCCTTCAAAACTGTTAACACATTTTTCAGTTATTTTGTATTTCCAATTTAAACTAATATATTTTTATTTAAAAACAATTTTTTTTTAAAATAGATGTCCTTTTTTATCATCCTGTGATGCAGAAGTTATAAAAAAAATTTTTAAAAATATAGTGAAAAATAAAAAGTTAATTTTTAAACAAATTTAGTATTTTTTTTAAGAAAAATTTTTATTTTTTAATATTGGCATATTTATTCTTATGCAAAAATATTATTTATCAGTATTAAAAGCATATTTATATTTAAAGGATTAGGTATTCACTTTTGTTGTTCAATGAATTGTGGAGCTTCAAAAATTATAAACCTTTTCCTATTATATTATATTATTTTCTTTTAATAAGTTATAGTAAATTGTATAAAAAATATCAAATATTTATTGATACATGTAATTATTATGTGTACAATGGTTACACCTATAGAATTTTTACCTTTTACCAAGGTTAAAGGTTTTGGACACTTTAAGACAGTTTTACCCAGTTTAAGACAGTTTTATCCAGTTTAGGACAGTTTTATCTAGTTTAGGACAGTAAAACCCACGTGTCCTGTCCAAAACCAGTTTAGGACGTCCAAAATCCCAACCCTGGTGTCAACTGTTGAATGTGACTGACTGGAAAGAAAAAATAATTAACACTGTTTGGATTTGGACATGAGAGAAATTATTTATGTTATAATATTCATTTAACCATAAGTTTAAAACGCTTTATTTATGTTATAAATATTCCAGATTGAAATATCGCAGATTTCTTCTACGGCGTGTTTTTTTGCTCCAGAAGAAACTTTACAACAAACAATGTTAAAAAATGCACGCCTACCTATGTCTTCAGGTTCCAATTCGAGCATTCTTTCAACAGTCATGTGCTGGCGTTCCCACGCCACATCGATTTTTTTCAAGACATCTCTACTGAGTTCAGGAAACTGATGCAGAGGTGACTGAAATGTTGGGGGATCAGAGCTCCACATCTGCTTCTCTAACATTTTCGAGATTTTAAGGAAAGCGCTGGTGAGGAGTGCCCAACTTTTTCGTAGACTTATTTCAAATAAAGCTCTGGCAATACGAGTTGAATTCTAAAAGAAAACAAAAAATGTACAACTTTGCAATCGATATATATATAGTGGTCAATCATTAATTCATTTATTATGAATCTTTACCAAAAATGCTGTGTTGTGCCATTAAATTAGAGAGAGGCAATAGTGGTGAGATGGGCTTCCAAAGTGGGCACATTTATTGAAAAAAGGTTTTGGGTTCAGACTAAAGATTTCTTATATTATTCAGTCCTAGACACAGTGAGATTTAGTCTGATCGTAAAAAGTGATACTTAATGAAGGAAGCGACACAATCACTCTTAGGCGAACATCAGAGGTGGAGCATACAAGTATACCAAAGTCTGTAAAAGTGTACTCTAACAGATATGCAGGACATTTCCTTCCTTTTTTAACACATGCATTTTGCATAGTATTAATCTATGTCATTTTCAATGAAGATTAGTTATCATCATATTAAGGACAGAAGAAATTATTTGATGTCTCTATGTAATCCTCTGTATCGAGGCTGCGGGCTTGGATTAAAATTCTTCTTGCTCTAAAAGAGAGCCAAATTCAGGCAGTAAGGAGGGCTTATTATCAAAATGCACGGAAAAGAGGCCTAGATGAAGGAGAAAAGTGACTAACAAATTTATAAAATCCGCTGATATTTTCTGGTCATAAAATTATAAACATTTTCTTTAAATATTTTAATACCATTTAAAATTGTACAACTGGCATGCTGTTGTTTCTTATACTTGTTTTATGGTTTAGGAAAGTCAAAATATTATTATTGGTCATGTGATGCGTTTGAAAATGCAAAATATTCCGGTCTCTAGCCTTATATCGCTCCAAATAATCAGCCGTCACAGAATGAATCAAATAAAATAATTATAGTTTGTCTATGGTAGGAACTCCCCACCACAAAGTCTTAGGCTGTCTGCTGCTATGGAAACAAGAAGGAGGGTAGCTTCTCTTAACTCACAATAGACGGAAGAAAAAGATTCTGTTTGTCTCCGACCCGAGCCAAAACAATGGCCCCACACCCCTACTTGAAGTGGTTATACCTCGTTGCCGTACATAGTCACCGCCAGGGGTCCACACAAATGGCTTGGGGAGTATTTACATTAGACAAACTATAGATAGACTTTTGATTGTTCCACAATTAAGCGTAGAGAAAATTTTATTCATAGCAAATTACTGAAATATTTTCATCAATGATGCCTTTAAGACAGGTTGTCAATTGAAGTAAATAGCAAATGCCTTCTTGAGAAACCAGGACAGAAGAAACAATAAAATGCTTGTACAACAAGACATCTTAATCTTAAAAGTACAGGGGTGATTTTGAACCCAACTCAAAAATTCTGAAAATTTCTCGAGTAAAATAATGAATGACGCATAAAAAAGTAATGTCTTTATAAATTTAAATCATTGAAATTTTCAAAACATGAAATTCTAAATAAATTATACGCAGAATTATTTAAATGAATAACTATGTATAAGTTTATTTTCATCTCTAATCACATTAATTATTCTACCAGAGGAAATATTTACAAATGAAAGAGATGCCAAGCATAAATCTCTATTCTAATATTTTTAAATAAAACACACAAGAGTTTTTATACGTAAATGTGACTGATGATTTCTTGAAACTTCTGGACCTTGGATTTCCAAATCGCAGTAAGCGGAAAATCCGGATGCCCTGAATGCATCCCTGAAATAACATAGGGAGGAAGGAAAAATTTCTTTTTTTTTAACTGATTATTGGAATTGAATTTTAGAAGAGACTCACTTGGATGACGTACTGCTGATCCGATATAAGAGAGAATCCCTCAATCGAAATTTTAGAAAGATAAGTCTGAAGCAGAATATTAACTTTTCCTTCGCGATTCTCACATCCCAGAGGAACATTATGAGGACACTGATGCAACAACTGATCCAACTCATTTGATTCATCATCTCTTACCTAAAAACAGAAATTTTTTCTAAAAAAAATTTTTTTTTTTTAAAATCATATCAAAAAATATTTTATTTTATCCACTTTTGCCATTTTATTTCATCCACTTTTTTTTGCTTTCATTTTATTTCATCACACTTCTGTTTGCTTTTATTTTATTTCATCACACTTCTTTAGAAAAATCAGTTTCATATGGCTCAATTTCTTATTAGTTATCTTTCTTTATTCTCTACTACTATAACTAAAATATTTAACATTTCTAACTAAAATTATTAGATAATTGTTAAAAACTTAATACTGAATGAATAAAATAGGAGTGCACAACTTTTTTGAGTGAAGGGCCACTTGCACAGCACGTAGATTAATGAAGGGCTGCACTCATATTTAGGCATGCTGGTGGCAAATATGATAATTTTAATCTAAGCATTAGTGCTCTAAGCACCAAATATTTTTATCAGTAAACTTAATAACATATGTGCAGAAAATTAAATGTTTTCAATTATTTGAATTTAAGTAAAACTAAAAAAAAAAACTGTTAAATTTTTAAAAAAAAACTTTTTCTGTTTTTCAGAATAATTAATTTGTCAAATATTTATATATGTACATAAATATTGGAAGGGGGATATAAGTTCTAACGTAAAGGAACCTAACAGAATGGAAGTGCAAAAAAAAAAAAAAAACATATATGCATTTTATAGAGTAATATAAATTTGAGTTAAATATTTTTACTAAAAGAACATTTATAATGCTTAAAAAAAAACAAATTAAAAGAAATTTTTTATCTAGTTCAGAAGATCCCGCGGGTCAAACACCAATAGTCGGCGGTCAGCGTAGGCCCTAGGTTGTTCAAAAAAATTACCTTCAGTATGAAGAAGTTTTTTTTCATAATCATATGCAACTACATACAGTAGAGTCCCGATTATTCGAGTTTCTGCTTTAACCGAGCTATCAAATATTTCAATGATTTTGTGTTCTAGTTTATTTTTAAAACTACCACTGAAAAAAATTCTGAATTTCATCTTCCAAACACTCAGGAAAATGGAATCCAACAGCTCGATCTGAGGAAATGACCGTAAAAATCGTCAATAATGAAAATGAATCTAGCGAAGATGATGACGATGAAAATCAACATATAAAAATCTTCATACAGATGGGCTAAAAGCTATCGGAAGTGCTATTGAATATATAGAACAAGAAGAGGCGACAACAGCCTCTTCCTGATATTCCTAAAAACTAGACGAAAGATTGCCGCAAAAAAGTGCCAAAGTAATGCAAATCAAAAAAGGATTAAGGACTTTAATACTCGTAAGTATGCTCTTTAAGTATTTTTAAGTAAGATTTTTAATTAGTTAAATATATTAGATTTATACCTACTCCTTTTCAGTTTTCTTTTAATACTCTTACTTTTAACCGAGTTTTTGGTTATTCGAGTTAAATGTGGTCCACATTAACTACGATAATCGGGACTCTACCGTACTTAAAAAGTACCTATATTTAAATAAATATAAAACTAAAGAGCATAACTGAAATGCGTTTACATAGCTGCCAACATTTTAAGACAACAATACAGTACAGAACCCGTTATCTGGAAACCAAAAAACCGGAAAACCATAAAACCGGAACGAAATTCGGTAAATTTTCCCGCCATTTTTAATAAAAAAAATTTTTTTTCCTCATAAGATTTTAGGATTTTTCGTTTTTTTTTAAAAGATGTTTACCATACCATCATTTTGGAAATAATCATTAGTGTATTACTTCATCGTTTTTTCTTCTGTTTAAGATTATTTCCAAATTTTTTTTTCCAGTTGGATTTAACAATAAAAAAAACGGTTTTTTGTAACGATTCAGAAAACCGAAAAAATCAGTTATCCGGAATAGCGATGGTCCCGATCGTTCCGGATAATCGGTTCCCTACTGTATAAATTTAATGATAATTGTTGCAAAATATATTAAATAATCAAGAAATTTTATATATATGTTTATTCATAATTTTGAATAGTAATGAGCATTTAATTCATCACAGACAGAGAGAGTCAATCGAATTTCATAAATGAGGCTCCCTTTCTTATGCATTAGACATTTATTTAAATATTGAAGCAAGCAGTAATCTGCACAAAAAATTCTACGGATTTTTTAAGGAAACTTACTCAATTTTAGGGAATTTTCTAAAATTCCCTGCAAAAACCAGTAGACCGGGAGAAACTAGTAGAATCCAGTAGTATACTAGAAAATCTAGTAGAGCTGACAGCTATGTTTTTATTAAACAAAAAATTATTTTATTTGAGGAAAATCAGGATTTATTTAAAAAAAAAAAAAAAAAATCAAGTGGTCAAATGACTGGATAGTAGGTCAAATGACTGGATAGTAGGTCAAATGACTGGATAGTAGGTCAAATGACTGGATAGTAGGTCAAATGACTGGACCATAGTAGGTCAAATGACTGGACTTTATGTTTCTTGATTGAATGTATGAAATATGGATGTTAGGAGGGAAATAAACTAAAAAAAACTTTATTATAATTAAACATAATTGTATAGTGCCAATTTCTTGTATTGCAAACACAAAGAATTAGAATTTTTAATTGCTCAACACATTTTTTTACATACAGGGGTGTTTCCATTGTACATTTTCCGGAAACATATTTCTTCTAATTATTATTATTTCCATAATTCTCATAATTAATAGTATTTCTTCTAAGAACTTGTGCTGTCTTGATTGTTTTGACATTTTTCTGGGTAAAAACTAAAAGTTAGTCAGAAATGAATCAAAATAATATATAAGCTACCTACCAAAACTTTTAGTTTTTTTCACTTTTTCTTACACAAAAATGCCAATTTAAAATTTTAAATACTTCAAATTTGAATTCACAGTGATTCTGATTGAACTAATTAAGCAAACAGCTTTTGTAGAAATGTGAAACTATAATCGAATGCAATACGTCGAACATGCATAACATCGTAATTTCTGATCCGATAAACTCATAAAGCAATAAATTGTTCTGCCGGTCAAATGACCGGTTGTGGTAGAAATAGGTATACGACAAGAATTATTCTAAACATACAAAATACAGAAATAATAATAGGATATTAACTGTTGTATATAATTGTTCGAAAAAATCATGCAGTCAAATGTGCAAAAGCAATAAGATGATATGCTCATTTTTGAAGCAAAAGTTCTTAAACGGTCATTCGACCGGCTGTGGTATGTTTCGTGTTAAATGAAACCAAATCTGATAATACCTTAAGCTGGTCAAACTCTTGAGCTTCAGAGATCAATCCAAATATTTCTCCGTCATAGAGAAATGGAACATCACTTGTTAACAGTTTGTTGTTGAATCGAATTATTGTTTCCACATTAATGTAAAAATGACTGGCAGTCCGTCCCGTGTCACTCACATGAAGATACCCATTCTTCATATCATACCTAATCATGGCTGCTTTGTCTAACTTCAAGGCTGCAGTCTCCAGGAGTTTCCTTCTGTGATTTTTCAGTAAGTAATCATCCTATAAAAAAAAAGAAACGCCAGTAGATTTTATTTGAATAGAAATTATAGTGGAATATCACTCTTCTAGGTAAGTTTTGCTTCCTTAGTAAACTGTAGAGCAGAGGTTTCCAACTTACATGAGGTCGAGGGCCACCAGTCAAACGGAGGGCAGCAACTTTATCAACAAAAAAAATTTTTTTTTACTTATTAGGAATTATATCAACGACTAAAAAAATTCTCAAGCATCTGAAATTAAATTTCTTTTCTTTTCCACCTATGACACATTCAAGTCAAAGAATTTAAATAAAACATGATACTCATTACCTTCTTGTGTTCTAAAATTTACAAATGTAAATAATTTCGTCCAAAATGAGTGGTTTCATAAAGTTAAATCGGAGAATTTCTCCGAGAGAATTTCTGATATGCACATGCTAATTTATATTCACAAAATATAAAAAAAAAGAGCAACATGAGCAATTATTTTTGTATTTGAATAAATATTTTCTTGGATGCAAAACCTGAGAAAAAATTTTTTTTGCACCAGTGGTATGTTAAATTTCACAGAAACGAAGAAATTAAGTTTTTTTTAACGAAAGAAAAGTATTTCAAATCCATATAGATTTTTTATGAAAATTGTCCGCAAAAAAATGACAACTAATATATTTTAGTTTGCGGGCCACAAAAAAAGGCTTTGCGGGTCGCCAGTTGGTAAACACTGCTCTAGAGAGTCTATAGCTCACTTTGGGGGGGGGGGAGTATTAACTTTGGATATTTATATCGGACATTAAAAGAAAAATTTGTAAAACAATTTACTGCCTAATTACAATTATTTCTGTACTAAATTGTTCAGGTACATGCCTCAAGGTTCACCAGGGTTCAGTCATTAAAAAAAACATTGTTACATGAAAAATTATTTTTTCTCAAAATTCAAATGAATCCCCCTCCAAAAAACAAAACAAAAAAAAATAAATAATAATTTGATATATTGAATCAAGAATTATCATATAGTGGTTTTAATATCCATTTATTTTTACAGTATTGCTGAACCCTAAGGAGAAAAAAATTTCTCTTTTTCTTCCTTCTTATACTTTGTTCTTTAGCGTTGCCATAGATAAGAAAAAAAGGTAATATATTTAAATTACAATTTCTCAAGAACTATTCAACCAATTTCACTCAAATTTTTCACTTTGCTATATTTGCTTTAAAATTATGTAAAAAATTGCACACCTTACAATTCAAAATTTTACGACTATTATTAAAGAAAAATAATAAAAAGTAATATTTACTAAAAAAATATTCCTTGCGTGAAATTATCTTTAGGTAAATGAATTTTATTACTGTGAGAAAAACGTTTTAGTTAGCTTAAAAAGTTCTTGAGAAAAATACAGATTACACAAAAAGCAAAATTAACATTAAAGGGTCCAAACTTGGGACCATATTTTCCAGATTGCGGCTACTCTTAATATTTGTGGAGTCAGAAATCCAAATCTGTTGGGAAAAAAAGGTATGTTAATAAAGAGAAAGTTTGTGTTTCACGTATGATTTCGTAATGTAAAATATTATTTACCCAAGTTAGTTAATATTAGTTGTAATATTTGTGATCGTCCCCTCGGACCATTAAGATTAAATTCCAAAACATGAAGGTCCGAACTTTAGATCAAAAGTTATTCAGGGTAGTTTGCTTTTTCTTTTGTGCACTGTTGCAATAGTTTTAATCAAAATTCTTCGTCTATAGTGGTAAGGGGGCTTTAATTTCTTTATAGAATTAAAGCATTATGGCCGTTTCAGATACATCTCAATTTGGATATGATGTAGGGGTATTTATCATAGAAGCATGAATAAAATCGTTTAGGAACAATTGATTTATTAAGTAAATATTAAATTGAAGATGGTCACATTCCAAAATTATAAAAATAAAGAAAAGAAGTCTCTCAAAGGAATCAAGAAAATCATTCTCTTTACATCAAGAATATTTTGTAAAGATATACTTTATTTGAAGGTTGGGACCGGAAGGCCGAAGTACCCAGTCCACAACAGATAGTTAGGAGTGGGAAGAGATTCATGTTTGGCGATTTATCAAAACATAATATAGCTAAAAATAAAGCTAATCCCTCATAATCAATATTAAATTTTGAAAATAATTAGGCAAAAATGAATGTGGCCAAAAAGAGTGTGAGAATTAGTACAAACATGTAATTGAAACATTTTTTTTTGGTAAGGAATAAAGAGTTAAAAATAGATTTTTGTTTTCGATTTAGTCACGATAGTGAATTAATGAGTCCTACATTAGTATTGAAATAAAAAGCTAGCCATTATATTGATTGTTAAGAAAAGTATAAAATATTTTATATTTGGTTTTTATGAAAAGTAATAAAAATTAAAAAATTGGTTTAATGTAATTAAAATTCGACTAAGAATGATTTAAAAAAAATAAGTTCAAGAAATTAAAGAAATTTATAAAGCTAGGAAACATATAATGCCCATTGTGGTATAACACACGCACTATACTTTAACGCATGTAGAAGAACATACCTTCACATCTTTTGGTTTCAAACCATAAGCCAAAGGATTTCCCATTTTCCGTTGATGCATGTAAGTGTAACTCAGCCATTCAATGCCCTCCTCAATGCTTGTCACAGTGCCTAGTGCAACCTTTCAAAAAAAGAACACAATTTGACACAAATAAAATTTTTACAGAGACTGAATGAAAGAAATCAGCATCGAGCCAGAAAATGTATGAAATAAATTTTTAGCACTATCTTCATAAATCCAGACTTGTCTGCCACCTTAAGGTAGTTAGCCAAAGATTATTACAGTATAAATGCAGGAGAACGCCAAACTGCGGAATAAAATTTTCATTGCAAATTCTCTTTCTCCTTCATTTCATTACTAATTTAAAATTTAAAGTGTAGAAAAGTTCAGGCAAACCTAGAGTGTGTCGTTAAGTTTCAATTGTTGAAAAAAATACTTCAAAATATTAAAATGCAAACAAAAAGATTTGAAGAGAACTTCTCTGCTACATAATCCTAAGTTATCATCTCAAAATTAATTTTCATTTGTATATTTTAAAATTTTCTCTTCCATACTTGAAACTTCCGTGGCTTACTCTAGGTTTTTCTGAACTCACTTTCTCAACACTTTAAATTAGTAGATTGAAGGAGAAAGAGAATTTACGACGAAAACGGTATGGTGTGCTATGTTAATCTATGTTACATTAAGGTTCTTGTATTAGCAAATACAAGAACCTTAAAAATCATATAAATACTCTACATAATCATATAAATACTCTACATAATCTTATAAATACTCTATGTAGTAGAATTTTATGTGATATTACTAAAAGTATAGAATCAATCCCTATACAGTTTAGTCTGTAATCAAGTAACAAAAAAAAAATTCTTTACTTTTGCTCTTTGCAGTGTTCACTCAATACAGCTTTAAAATTTTTATTAGAAACAAATTAAGAGATGCTTTAAAATGCAACAATTTTCACGCATTTGTTTATTTCCTTTTAAAAAGAAAATTAACATGAAAAAACATTTGCAAATGTTGTAATAATTTGTAGTTTTGTGCTGTAGGCTTTCAACTAGTGGCTTAATAAGTATTAAAAGAATAGCTAAAACTTAAATAAATATGATATAAAAAATCATTTTCATATCAACTTTTTTTTAAAGGAAATGATTATTTTTATATTGTTTTCATACAAAATATAAGAATTGATTTATGTATTTAAGAGTACTTGATTATAAAAATAAAGTAAGCCATTAGAAAATGTGAACACAATATGCAATTTGTGAAGTATATGCTTAGTATGCAATTCGTTAATTAGGAAATATGAATAAAATTTGATTATGACATTTTAACAATTCTTTAATAAATTAGGTTTTTCTATACTTCCATTTATAAAAAATTAAAATTATTTTAATTTATTAAGAAATTCATCATGTTTTAAATCATTATCATCTTTTATCATCTTCAAATATCATTTTCTATAGCAGCCTTTCCCAAAGTGTGCTACGCGTACCCCCAGGGGTACAGGAAGATTTATTGAGGCAGTGTTTTCATCATAGAAAAAAAATGGGTGAGAATTTCTCACCCTTTCTCAAAAACAGGGCGAGATTTCAAAAAGTTAAGTGAGATTTCTAAAAACTAAAAAAACACAAATAGACTTGAAAAAAAAATCATTTCTTTAATTATAAATTATAATTTATAATACAATTTTAACGTCTTCTATTTTTTAAAGCATTGAATATTTCTGCTACATCATCATAGAAGATTTTGCTTTTACAAGGTATTTGTCCATCTTACATTAGTGCATAAAAAATTTGAATGTCGTACACGAGGAAACCTTACCTACGGTAAACACGTGGTTTCAGAGAAATGTGTTCTGAAAGGGGTTCCGTGGTTTCGAAGGGTAGTGTTCTGTTGTTCGAAAAGGTTCTAAACAATACTGGTAAATAGGGAAGCTAAATAAAACGGGGCAGATGTTGAAAATAATGAAAGATCCAGGAAGAAAAGTGAAACAAATTTTATTCTAAATAGCGTAATGCGAAGCTTTTTCCAAAATTCGAGAATTTTGAAATTGATTTATAGAATGCGCAAATTTCTTGCGGTAATAATTTTTTAATGCGAGAAAAGAAAAAAATATGTGTGATTCTCGTGCTGTAGTGAAAACACTGATTGAGGGTATACGTTCTTACGCGAGGAAAGGAAAATTGCATAAAAATTTATTTAAAAACAAAGCTAGCCATGAAAATTCACCATTACGTATTTTTCTATTGACAATTTTTTGCAGAGTTAACAGTTAATAATTAGTGGTGTCAACAGCCAGTTGTGATTTTTAACTTTTGTGCATTTTTTTATTAATGGTACACAGGGTTACGCAAACCCAGAAACATTCTAACATTTTTACAAATTAATGTATATTTTATAATTTATTTAATATATTGTTATTAAAAAAAATTATACTTTTTTATCAAAAAAGTTGGCCATTTCTTTTTCTATAGGCATTTTACTTTAAATAACTTCATAAAGGCAACTGAATCTAAACATAATTACAGGCTTCAAAAATGTTTTAAAAAATTGGTTAAAGAGAGTGTCAACACTTTTTATTCTTCCACAGAAGTCTAAGAAAATGAGGAGCACCATTTGGGGACCAGTGCCATAGAATTTAAAGGAACACATTAACCAGCGTCTATACTGAGCTTATGTGTACATATATATATATATATAGAAATATATATATATATATAGTTAGTAAGAGAACTGCATCAATAAAATCTTACCTCCGCATTGAGATTATCGGGAATCTTTTCTTCAAATCTGCTCTCTATTTGATGTTGCCTCGTTAGCATAGATAGATAGTGAGACAGTTTATCGTGGGATGTGATGATGATGCCCTCCCCCTTCTTGTCGTACTGGGGTCGACCCGCTCTGCCAAATATCTGCATCACATCTAAGACATTGAGGTCAACAAAATTGCTCTGTTTTGAGTCATATACTTCAGTACCCTGCAATAAATAAAAATAAATAAAAAAAACTTCAATGACTCAATAAATTTTTATAAAGCTGGAATGTGTAATAAATAAAAATTTATTATAGTATTTTTTCAATACTTTAAAGATAGATTATTTTGCTGTAGATGGCACCACTATGGTAAAGTTTAAATTCAATCATAATAATGATATTTTTTTTAGAAATGAAATTTTGAATTAGTCTTTTAAAATGGGATTTTTGGGGTGAAATCTGGGTAACTAAATTTATTAATATTTATTGAGGATGGCATCATAACTTCTATAGGGTATTAGTGGGTTTATGACTGTTTTTTCTCAGGGATCGTTTTTTTTTTTTTTTTTTTGGTTCTGACGTCCGCCGGATGCGGGATGACTCTGGATTTGGTAAACAGGTCAATCTAGATTCTTTCGCCTTGCTGAAGGGAGGATAAAAGAGAAGTGAAGAGTGTGGCTAAGGCAGTAACCCAGAGGATACGGAGCTTGTCCGCAGGAAAGGTGATCCGTGACAGCACCTCGGAGATGGTGGATTGGAAACTTAAGGAAAGCTAAACTGAAGTCTCTATCGTGAAGACGCGATACGGTGGGCCAAGTCCGAACGTATCTATGCTGGAAGTCCGGTGTTCCCCATCTGCATGCCTAAGCCTAATGAAGTTAGAATAGCTGGAGAAATTTTGAGATCCTAGCCGAGGAGTTTGCTCACGAGCTCATCTACCATTCCGGTGGGCGCTTCCAGAGGGCGAACAGTAAATTCTTTTAGGTACTTATAAAATTTTAAATTTTATTTCGTTAACATTTTAGAGGAATCTTTTACCGTAAATTCTGAACTGTTTATGTTGTGTTTTTTTGTGTTTNTGTGGTTGTTTTTTTTGTATAGGAGAACAATGAGTATTTAAGTCTGATTTATAGACATCATAAACAAAGTCTTAAGTGCTTTTAGCAATGCTAAATGCAGTTTTTATTTCTTAAATGTCTTTTTTGAACTGTATGAATTGAAGGTTATGCTTGAGTGTTTTAAGGTTGCATGTTGTTTTAATTAATGTATAAAGGGAAGTGTTTATTCCCATGTTAGCATTTGGAAATGTGTGGAATTATGTTCTTTGAAGATTTAGAGTTGCAATAAAAATGAATTTTAAATGTTAAAAGCTTCCTGTAATTCATTCGATACTTGTCTACTATATAACCTGGGTAACCGTTACCTAAAGTTAAATTTAGAGATCACAGCTAGAGGGGTAACGGTACAAATGAATGCGCAAACCATCTATAATAAAAGACAAAAAACATTTTAATAAGTATGAATAAAAAGCAAAATTGAAAAATGGAACTTATCAGTTGTAGAGACAGGAGTTGGCAAGTTTTTGTCACAGGTGGAAAAAAAGGGTGGGGGGGGAGTCACAGTGTTTCCAATTCGATTTAAATATCGTGAAAACTTTAAAACGTTTCTAGCAATTTGAAAAGTAGTTTTTGTTAACCGCTTTCATGATTAGCCCCAGTTAACCCAGACAGCCCTAAACTTTTAGTCTGGAGAAGTTCTCCCCAAAGCCGCACACTATCTAGAGTTCATGTTTATAAATTTAATAGAGAAACATTTTATAGCAACTGTATCATAAAAAATATCTTTTCTCACATGATTAATTTCAAATTAATACAAAATATGAAAAACTTCAACTGTTGTATTAATAACTTTAAAAAGGAAAGAGAGAGTATAAGTTGGCAAAGTAATTACCTTTATGATGACAGCTCTGGCAGGCAAATTAACACCCCAGGCTAGGGTCGAAGTGCAAACGAGAACTTTTATCAGTTTTTGACGGAAGTATTTTTCAACCAAATTTCTATCTGATCTCAGCATTCCAGCATGATGAATAGCAAAACCATATTCAAAGAGCTCTCGCAATTGCTTATTTCTGGATTTAAAAATCTGAAGGGGAAAAAAAATACAAAGTTTTTTTTTATTTGTAATTATAAAGGCTAGGATGTTCTTAGTTAAAAAATTCTCAAAAAATGCCCCCAAAAATGCAAAAAAAAAAAGGTTATCAAAAAACATTAAAAAAAACCTTAAAATGTAAAAAAAGGTCCTTAGAAATTTTCAAAAACCTGTTTTATATTAGCTTCTGTTATCAAAAAATAATAAATCATAATCTGATTTATTAAAGTAACTAAAGTAGTTGTTGTCTATGGACAAGAATTAAGACTTCTGCCACACCCATATGTCCCTGTTTATAGGGCGAATCCATTAATTCAATCTCCAATTTCATACCTCCAGAGGTATAATTCGATATAGGAACATAGAGGACTTTGTGACCTGTCAGATTTATCGTGCACCAGGCACTATTTACTACACGGGGCGTTTTTGCCCAGCTGGATTCAAACTCCCGTTTTCCAGAACAAGTCCAGTGCCCGGGCAATCAAATAAGTAGTAATTAAACTAAATGTGGAATTTATGAATAAAATAAAATTTATAACAACGTATAAGACTTAATTAATATTTGCTTACAGTCTTCATTATTATCAGATTTGCATTGTATTAACAAATGAATTTCATTGTTGCTAAAATTGGAAGATAGAAAACTTAAGCCATAAACAATTAAAACAGTAAACCTTCTTGCTCAAATTTGAAAATTGTATTGAATGTGGGGTTTAGTGGTACAAGGTCCAAAAAAGGAGATACTGCGCCAAACATACGGTTTTAAAAACAGATTAAAAGGTTAAGTAAAGCACAAACATAAAACAGGTGAAATAGTGAAAGTTCTAAAACAATGTTGTAAAATTACATACAGTAAAATCAATAAAACTTCATGGTAAATTTTCAAAAATGGTAAGTAGTATAAAGCAACTCTATACAACTTAAAATTCCAATAGCGCGTAAAAATGCAAAGATGTTAGGATGGTGATTTTTATCTAACAAGTCTTTTATACATAAAATCGTGCTTCCAAAAAGGTAAGGCGCTGTTGATTAAAATATGGGCAAGTGATTAAATATGATGAATTGAAAGTGAAACGTTACAAGCATGGCATGTTCGAATTTGAAAAGAACCAAGCATATTTTTAATAACATTTAAAATGAATTAAAAAATACTTACATTATTTTTGGCTACTGCAAATTCTGAGGAATCTAATTTATCAGTAAATAAATGTGCTTCATTATATTTCATAGCTAAATCTCGTAGTATAGTAGCTGTTCTCACAGTAGAATTTCTAGCATGAACAAACACCATCACCTATAAATTGAATATTCAAATAAGGAAGTACTAACTTTCCAAACTAGCCATCAGAAGTATAACGCAGAAATATATAAAGTTAGAATTTAGGAAATTCAAATTAGAGCAACTTGAACATGTATATGCTACTTAATTCTACATAGGAATATAAGATTAATAAAATTATGCACAGATTATTCTATTAAATAAAAAAGTAACACTTAGATAAAGGTACAAATTTAAAAATTCTGAAATTTTATACGTCATTATAAAATAATAAAGTTAAATTGATTACTTAGAACCGATGTTCTAGTTTGCCTCTTTTTCATCCAGCACTCAAAAAGGGTTGCCACTCAAATCTGGAGTACCCAGATCTCGTAAGAGGCAATTGTTAGGCTCAAGACTGGAAGAAAAAAACTTCTTGGCCCAAATAACATCTTTTTATTGCTACCAGAATGAATGAAAAGAATTTATCAAGTACTTTGACGAAGAGGAAAACTTGGTCTTTAGTTCTGATGCTCCTGGATTGATGAGCAAATTTAATATAATATACGATAAAGATGAGTGGTAGCTGTTTATAGATTTATCTAAAAGAAGCCTTAGAGCTGTCCTTGTAAATCCTTCATTTGTAAATATTGCTCAAATTACATGTAAAAAGACCTCGTTAGAAAGTGATTATTCAAAAGTGCGATTAAAAGTTTTCGGCATTTTTTTATTGTGTACAGAAACTTTTGAAGTATGATTTGTATCTCGCAATTAATGAAAAGAATTGGAGATCAAAGATAAATCAGAAGTTGTCATGGAGAACTCTTCAGAGGAAGGCATTGGCTCACATTGGGCTGTGTGGCCAACTATGATGATGACAGAAGCTTTTGCGGGCCGCTGGTTGTGCACCCTTATCTTAGAAGAAACATTTTTGTGTTAGATTCAAAACCTAAAGAAATTAAAAGAAGGAAAAAATACTAACTTGATGTTTCTCAACTAGAGCAGCCACTTTTTTGTAGCATATATCATCCATATCTTTAACTTGTTGCAGAGGATGCCTGTTTTTGACTCCAATGAAAGTGGGCGAGAGGGGGACTGGGCGGAATCTATCGTCAAAGAAATAGAGCCCTTTGGAGAGGTTGACTCGTAAAAACGTTGCCACATCAAGATAGTTTGGCAGCGTTGCAGATAAACCTATTATACGAATCATGGATTGCTGCGATTCCACCTATAATGTTGAAAATTAGCACTTATTAACACAAAGTAAGACTTCCTACATAACAACTAAAATGATTCAGCGTCATAATTTTATCCGTCGTTGAGCATCCGACCCAATTTTGGGTTTAGGACGACTAATGTTCAACTCTGTAGCTTTGTCATTTTGAACCTAATCCAGAAGACAAGGGAACTCCTGGATCAGTACCCCCAGAGATATTGATTTGTTATGGGAATTTGTGACTCAACAGGTTTAACGTACATCAGTCACCATTTACTACACGAGGAGTATTCGGCCACCGGGAACTAAACCCAAGGGCTCTTGGACATGGACCCATTGCCCTATCAATCAGGCTATTCTGGCCTAGTGTCATAATTTTAGCAAAAACAATTGTTATTACATGCTTGAGTTTTGTAAAATATTGCAGGATATAAATAATTAATCCTCTAGAGCCAGCACAGAACAAATTCTTCAGTTTTTACTTTATCATGTATACATAAATCTATGTGTATATGCATTTAAATACAGAGTGTTTCAAAAACCTTTATGCTTTACTTAATTAAGATTCCTTATCCCAATAGAATTTATGTAAATCAATGCCCAAGTAATCAATTAATATTAATAATAATATAACAACTAAATAAGAAGTTGACACTCATTTAATATTTCATGTTTTAAAACATTTATAACCGTCATTGATCAGCCGACTCAATATTTTTTTGGTTTACAACTACTAATCTTCAACTCCATAGCCTTGTAATTTTGAACTCAATCCAGAAGACAAGAGAACTTCGGGATCAAGAGTTGGGAGAAATTTGCCTTCTTGGAGGACTTTTTGATAGAACTAACTTTTGATGGATTTTGAGTTACGTGGAGAGGGAAACCACGAAAACCTCCTACGGTTAGTTTATTATTATTTTTATTATTGCATTATTTATCCTTATGCAAATACATAATTTACCAGTAAAGAACATTTATTCATATTTAAAGGATAAGGTATTCACTTTTGTTGTTCAATGAATTGTGGAGCTATAAAGTTATGAATCTTTTCATATTATATTATTTTCCTACAATTAGTTAAAGCAAATTCTATACAGAATATCAAATTATTATTAATATATGTATTTATTATGTCTGCAAAGGTTACACTTTTTTTTACCTTTTACCAAAGTTTAAGGTTTTGGACACTTTTTATCAGTTTAGGACAATCTAAGACAGTAAAACCCAAGTGTCCCGCCAAAACCAGTTGAGGACATCCAAAACCCCAACCCTGAGAATGTTAGGTTTTTTAGTAGTAGTTAACTGAGAATCCTTCCCTCAGGGGGGCGTAGCGAAATCTTTCAACAGAAAATAAGCACCTTTTAAGTACTTTTAAAGCGAAAAAAAAAATTATTTTTACGCACCATATACATTAACAAAATGCAAAATAATTTTCAGACCTTACGTGATCAAGATAAAATAACTAGTTTCTGACAAAGAACTCTTTTCTTGATTATATTAGCCACCATAAAATGGTCGAGAGATTTTCGGTCCGATATCAGAGGGTGGGAAATGAAGCCTGAAATAGAGAATATCTAACAAAATGCAAGAGTTGCACACGAAAGTGCAATAATCTAACCGAACCCAGCTCAGTAGACTCAAATGTGGATTTGCAAGTATATCATCAATCACATAAAATGATTGGAGCTATCATATGCGTTGGACCGACGATACGCTGAAATGGATTGTTGAATGAATTGTGAAAACGTTGAATGTGAAAAACACACTCTTGCTTAATATGTGGCGAAAATCGACCTTGTAAAAAGAATCGAATCTTTGAAAAGGGAAAATCAAGCACTTTTTAAAAACACCCAATGAGAAAAGCTGCTTTAAAGGGCTTTTAAAAAACAAATATCGAAAATAAGCATTTTTCAAAAATGCTACACACCATGTTCCCTGTTTCCAGAGAAAGTAGTTACAGGAAATCAAAACTGAAATAAAAAAATGGAATATCTTACCAATCTTATTGTGCGTGCCACAAGAGCCTCTAAAACAGGACCTCTGTCACTATCTAGCAAATGTACTTCATCTAGAATAAGCAACCTAACCAACTGTGACAATGCTATGTCACCAGTTGATTTTCTGGTCACAACATCCCATTTCTCTGGTGTCGTAATAAGCATCTAAGGAATACATGCACATCATTAAGATCAGAGTTGGAAAAGAACAAGATTTTTTTCTTTAAAAAAATTGGTTTTTCTTTTTTATTTAAATCAGATTTTTTAATATTTAAAGGCAGATTTTTTTTTTTAAATATACATAAAATGCATTCTAATGCATGTAATATATGGCTTTCATAAAATGTATTAGATATGATCATGTATAGACTTAATATTATCAAACTAAAATATTTAATACTACCTATTCAAATGGTTAAAATTATTATGAAAAAAAAAACATGGTTATTTTTATTTCAAGTAGAACACCCTCAAAAATCAATTTGTCATTTAGATTTCAAACGAAAAATAAATTAATTTAAATCAATAAACATAAAAAAAAAGATAATTCACTGTTTAAAAAAAATTTTTTTCAATAACGGCAGGCACTGAACTTTCATTCTTCGCCTTAGAAGATGCCGGAAATGTTGCTCATTTATCGTTATCCAGTGGGCACCTGTGAACGAAAGTCACGGAAGCGAGTAACATTATCCACTCCACATTGCCACATATGAGGCATTTGTATGAAAACGTCTTGTTCACAAGATTTGGCAAAAGTTTCAAAATGCAGATTTCAGAATTTAATTCTCACTTTAAATTTTAGATTGCGTGGAAAATTTCATCGGATTATAAATTTTGATAGGCGGAAGTTCGCAAATCAATGGTCTCATGATATGCGGAATTCCGCAAAAAAATCACACGCCCTGCTCCTAGTTTCTACACCTGGAGGGATGATACGATATACCAGGAATTCCGGAATGCACGCAGAATACAATCACCCCCATAATAAATAATTCTTTAAAAGCTTCCACACCACTTTTATTAACAATCATTCTTTCAGTTGTTAGTGTTTTTAAAGTCAAATTAAGCATTATTTTTCAGTGTAAAATTTTTAATGTCAATGAAATCAAACTTTAGAAAAAATTTTCCTGCTAAAAATCCTTAACCACTTCCCTTACAGACTTAAAAAAAAAAATGCAAAAAATAAATATATATTTTTATTTTACTAACAAATACAGTGAACTAAAACAAAACATAATGCACAAGTTTTAAGTTGAAATTTGAATTTTTTTTATGAGTAAGAAACATTTAATTTAAAATCAGTTTACTATCCTGAGTTATTTCAGGTAAATGAAAAAAGTCAAATATTAGTCTTTGTTATGATAGTTCTTAAAACAAGGGACAATACAAAGTGATACTTCTTCAAACGTCATAAAAGGAATACAGCAACCATCGTAAATACAATCACACAAAACACATGTGCAACATCAAAACTCGCAATTAAAACTTGGCAAACTTCCAATTGCNGTCAGTGTTTTGGCTCAGCTCGGCGAGAGAAAGGGAATTTCTTTCTTCTGTCTATTGTGAAGCTACCCTTCCTCAAATGCGCCGTTCTTGTTTTCATACAGGGTATCTGCTACATTTTAGATTTTCAAATTCATGACTTTTCATGATTTTCCATGATTAATTCCAAGAATTTTTCATGGCTTAACGAAGTTGCTATTTTTTCCAACAAAAACGCAACAATAAATTAAAAAAAGCATTATAATAACATTTTTTGAAATAGGCATAACCAAAACTATTATACTCATCCTCTTCATATTTATAGATTTCAAACTTAAAAAACAGAGTAAGAAAAGAGTTGAAAAAATAAAATAGCTGAAAAAAATACAAAAGCAAAGAAAAAATTTTTCTGCAGAATTAATATTCCAAAGATACTTTTCTTGTTCATCAGAAAGGAAAGAAATACTCCTGATTTTTCTGTTCATTTCGGAATAAAAAAAATTCGCCAATAACTGGTTTGCTTCAACTAGAATTTTAAATTGATATAATTAAAAAAAAAATAATAATAAAAATTCTTGAATCACAGAAGATAGTTTAAAGGATAATTCGCTCTAGAAATGATAGTTTTTCTTTCATTTTTTGAAAGAACACCATAAGTTTTAAAGAACATGATAAAATCATTTTATATTCAAATAAAATATGACTGAGTGGTGATTTTGTTAGAAATTCAGATATTTGGAACAGGATGAATTTGGGGAAAGGGAGATTCCATTTTAAAAATTAGATTTTTCAGAGACCTAAATCCATTACTTTCTATGATTTTTTTTAAAAAATAGTAAAAATCATGACATTTCATGACAAATTTTGTTCAATACCGAAATTCATGACTTTCCATGATTTTTCATGACTTTTCAGGCGCGCGGATACCCTGTATTTTCAATCAATCTATACGTACTCAAGTTAACGCGGGGGAAGTGGTTAATATTTTTAAATCATAGATTTTTAAAAGAAAATAAATTAAGATATGATTTTAATTACTTGATTCATATTAGTCATGTACTTACCTGAGTTTGCATGATTTCAGTCTTCGTCAATTGCATATCACCGGTGAGTTCCTTCACAACGATATTCAAATCTTTAAGCCGAGCACTAAAATTTCTCACCATTTCAGCGGCTAAAGCTTTCATTGGAGCAACATAAACTATCTATTGAAAACAAATTAATAGTAAGGGATAACAAACACTTATCAAACGAAATATTCTATGAGTGAGTAACTTTTCGTCTAATGATAAGACTTCTAGATACATCAGGGGTTTTAGATTTTTTTTGGTACTTGTTAGTGAAAATTTAAACGAAATTTGCAAAAATTAAAAATTATATTAAAATATCAACAAAAATTATGGCAGAATAAGAAATATTTTTCAAAAATTATCACAACAAATAAAAATCATTTAAGACTGGTAAATTTCTATATAAATTTTTCCCATATGTTCAAAAACAATTTTGCTATTGTAAAATTTTGGGCTTAAAAAATCCATTAACATCATTGTCCACAGCTAAATTTCAACTTGAATTTAATAAAAACTTACATTTAACAATACTAGCACTAAAAGTTATCTTCATTATGAGAACATTTTTGATTAGGCCATACAGAAAAAAGTTTTACAGAGAAAATAATGTTTCACAAAAAAATTAAAACATCTATTAGAATAAATTTAGAAATCCAGAGATTAGAAATTTATAATGCAAATCTAATGTTTAAAATAATGGTTCAAATTTTGACTTCCTGTAAACTTTACAGAGGGACAACTTGTTCTTAAAAGAAGAAACTTGTTCCTTAAAAAAAGAAACTTGTTCTTAAAAGAAGAAACTTGCTCCTTAAAAAAAGAAACTTGTTCTTAAAAAAAAGAAATATTTAATATTAAAACAATTTTTCAAACAGTTTAGAATTGAATCTAGTTTAAACAATAGCATTCATTTCAAAACAATTTAACACGTAATTTTTAAATAAATACAAAAATTGCAAAAAACAAAATTTTTAAATAAGAGTAAAAAGGCAACAATTGCAGAGAATAATGAATTTTTTTAAGTAATTTAAATAACTGCAATTTTAAAATATTTTACATAAAGGAATATAGTAAAATTTCAACTTATAATTATTTAAAGAGCAATTTGCTTTTCAAAGCTGAGTTTATCATCAGGTAATATTTAAATCTGTATTTTCGGCAGTTACTGATAGTGATTTTCCCGTGGTTTTTTAGCATTCTAATATATTTCAAGCAAATATGGAAAATTCAAACCGTTTATCAGTATTTACTCTTCAAGGCAATAATTCTATTGAATTTTTGGCAGTTACTGTTACTCATTTCTCCATAGTTTTCAAATCCGATATTTTTTATACCATATTATTTATAACAACCTAATCTCGAAACAAAACAAGCATTTGAGGAATCCGATTTGTGCGATAAATAATTTGCGCTTTTGTGAAACGAAAAACCCGGAATTCAGAGTTCACCCAGAGTACAATCACCCTTGATAATAAAAGGTACCTTAATGGATTTCTTAAAAACGCCACGCAGCCTGCATGAGAATGAAGCAGATAAGAAAGAGTTACTTTGAACTTGTTCCTTTGCAGTTCTCCATTTTGAATGTTCTGCCGGATTTCGTGAACAACAGTCAGGAGGGCAACGTTGGTCTTCCCGGCACCAGTCGGGGCACACACAAGCATGTTCTCATTTGTGTCGTAAGCCGTTTTGAATACCATAGACTGAATACAGTTGAGTTGCGTGATGTTTTGAAACGCCTTTTGGCCAATCTAAAAAACAACAAATAAAATATTAGATTTCAATTCTTTTTTTAATAATTATAAGAAACCAAAAATTGATTGGTCATCATAAATTCACTAAAATGACCATAACTGAAATAATTAAGCTTAAAATTTAATGAAGTTGTTACACATTATACTGCACATAATAATCTACAAAATATCATAAAAAAATATTAACCAGACAATAATGGTGTTGCAGAAATTAGCATAGGTATGAAATGAATAAATCAGTCACGTCAGTTTTAAAAAAAACTAGCCGCAATACGGCGATGTGCTGTACTTTCAATAATGGCATCTACAAGTTCCATTGTTCTTGCAAAGCAGTTGCAAGTGTGACAAGGGTCTAAGAAGGAGGATTGCGAGTTGCTTGGCCTTTCTAAAGCATCCCAAACACGATCGATAGGATTCAAACCCAGTGAATGTGCCGATCACCCCATATTTGCTGAAGATAATCACCAACGATTCAACTCCAGTGCAGCCTTGCATTTTCGTCCTGTAGCACGAAATCATCAACTAATACACCAGCATTAGGGTGGGCATAAACTTAAATGTGTGAACTTAAATAACCTGTGAACATTCACAGTTCCATGTGGAAAGACATGCACGCCTGTCCGCCCACCCAAAGAGATACTGCCTCACACATAGACATTGCCTCCTTGGCATGCATCTCTTTTCTAGATGTTTGACGGATATATATTGAGTTCTCTCCCAAACAAACCATAGGTGAACCGTTCAGTGGTCATGTTGCTATGCCACCTTAAGCATTCCGTTCTATGGCTATGTTGCTATGCAGGGCATCTACTACATATTAGATTTTAAAATCCATAACTTTTCTTGACTAATTCCAAGAATTTTTTATGACTTACCGAAGTTACTATTTTCTGCGACAAAAACACAACAATAAATTTAATAATTCTAATTTATCTACTCAAGCAAACAGCATCAGCTTTTAACCACAGGATATCATTGCTGGACACACTCAAAGCCCCCATGGCTGAATCGCAGGCACATAATCGCAAAACGTAATTCAGTTTTTGCCAAAAGGCAAAAGGATTTTTCCTTTGGGAAGTTAGAAATTTTGGTTTTCATTCCTGCAGAATTTTTTAAGATGTATAATTTCTTTTTTTCTGAAAAATTATAATCTAAAGATACTTTTCTTATTCATCTGTAAATAAAGAAAGGTGATTTGTCTGTTCTCATTTGGGAATTAAAAAAAATTTGCCAATGACTGGCTTGCTTCAGCTGGAATTTTAAATTGATAAAATAAAAAAATAATAAAAAAAATCTGAAAACGTGGAAAATTAAAATATAATTCGCACTAGAAATGATGTTCTTTCATTCATATTTTTGAAAAAACACCATAATTTTTAAGGAAAACCATAAAATCATTTTATTTAAAATATGACTGTGAGTGAGGATTTTGTTATAAATTCAGATATTCGGAACACTGAAATTGGAGAGGTCAATTCCATTTTAAAAATCATGGATTATTTAAAAACATTTTGTAACTTTTCATTAATTTATAATAATCAATGCATTTAAAACTATTGTTACAAGAATCTAATAAGTTAATAAATAACGCACAATATATATAAAATATATATAATAAATATATAGTATATAACATTTATTACTTATGGTACAACAAAAAAGACTTCAGAGGCAGGGGTCAGTCCAGGCCAAATTTACTATCAGTTAGCGGTACCTTCACAAATTCAACTTTAGGAGAAACGGTAGTTTCACAAAATACTTTTTCTTAAAATTTCATTTTTGTATCCCATAAGAAACGATAAATCCATATTTTTACCCTATTTTTGTGTTCATCTTTTAATATAATTTTTAATTTTCACAAATTATGTTACAATAACTTCCCAGTTACATTCTTAAGAGATTCGACACATGAAAAAAATAACTCACTTCATCTAAGGCTGAAATCTGCACAAGGTCAACAGGCAATTGGTTAGCTATGGATACAGTGGCTGGAATAACAATCTCTTCATAAACTGAGTTATTATCATGTTTAGCATCAGAAGGTATTCTCAACTATAAAAAAAAAAAAATTCAAATGTGAAATTTCTAACACTTTTTCTCAAATGTCTTTACTAAACCTCTTCTTCCCACCAACTTCATTCATTTTGGTATGTCGATGGGAAGCGATTTTCCCAACTTTATTAATTTTTGAATATTGATGGGAAGCGATTTTCCCACCTACCACGGGTGGCCTCTTTATAAGGCCTTACTTCCCACCAATTTCATTCATTTTTGAACGTCGATGGGAAGCGATTTTCTCGCCTACAAAGGGGTGATTGTGGCAGGAAATAAAAAAAAAACCTGAAAATTTCATTAGAAAAAATTTGATAACAAGATATCAATTTATATACTATTCATATTTAATATAATTTTTTGAACTAAAATTTATAATTAAATTACCTTTTAATAAAACACACTTTCATCATAACAAATTTAAGAAGTTCTTACAAGAATTGCGATATCGGATTTTAAGAAAAAGGAATCAAAAATCACTATATTGGGATTTAAAATCGTGTAGATATGAATCGCGATATTCGATTTAGGAAAGCAATAATATAAATCGCAACATCAGATTTTTGAAAACCGGAAATATAAATACGACTAGGTCAGATAGCGACATTGGATTTTAAATTCGAATGAATAGGAATCGCTATATTGATTTCAAAAACTTGTAAATACAAATTGCGATGTTGGATTTTTAAATCGCCTGAATACTATTCAGAACGAATGATTTAAATCATGTAAATACGAAAGTTGATGTTTGATATTAAAATTGCGATATTAGCGGATTACGGCGTAGTTTCAAAGATCAAAAACGATAAAAATCCGACAAAAAAAATAATTATATCAAAATTGTGGAAGAGTCACTTGTCTTGTTAACGCAATTCAGCAAAGTAAAGATTTCAAAATTTACAAGAAAACAAAACAAAAAAAAAATTACATCAAAATTGTGGAAGAGTCACTTGTTTTGTTAACGCAATTCAGCAAAGCAAAGGTTTCAAAATTTAAATTTCAGAATATTATTCTTACTTAAAATGTTACCTAGCAGTGAAAATTTCAATGTTTTATAAGTCTTGAAACGTGGGTAAAAAATCACAATTGTCCGGTAAAAATCACAATTGCGGGTTTTGAGTTTACCACTACTGATGTTCAACTCCACAGCCTCGTAATTTTGAACTCAATCCAGAAGACGAGGGAACTCCTGGATCAAGTATTGGGAGAAATTTTCCTATCGTGGAGGACTTTTTTTTATGGAAATAACGAGCACTTGAGTTACATGGAGAGGAAAACCAAGAAAACCTCCCAGAGTCAGCCAGACAAAAAGGGGAATCCTTCCCATGATGCATCTACCACTGAGAATATTTTACAGCAAAACGGTGGTCGGTACAAGCTGGATGCAGAATTCTTAAAGACCTTCACTTCACTGGAAGACAAACTCGCTCTATCCCCTGAGCCACCGTGACTCGACTTAAACAATCAACACTACACATACCACAGAACTGGCAATAGCCCCACATGTTGAGGAATAAGGGAAGCTTTTTGCCTTCAGTGGATATTTTTTCACCAATTTTCAACAAATATGGAGAAATTTGAGAATATGCAGGTAAACAAGATTCATTGCTGTTTTGTGAGAAGCCGGGAGAGCTGTATTACGATCACCGGACTTTGTTTACAGTCGAGGTCGCTCTCGTGTTGCCATTAGCAGTCGAGTGTTTACAGGCCGAAGTTGTGTAGGATCGAGACTGAGTAGCAACAGAGAGAGGAGGTGGATCTCGTCCAAAGGTCACCAATGTGGGGAGTGAGTTGTTATCGACAATGTCAACCTTCATCTATGTAAAGGTATCCCACCATAGAATCGAGTTAACGTGTCTTATATACTTGTGATTTGGAATTATATTTTTGTAGTGGTAGATACGCTACAAGTTTACAATTTTTTTTTAGACAAGATTTTAAAATATCTCATACCCAATATTGGCCTATTTGAGTTAAATTCTATGATTGCATGATTACATGAATGAATGTTACCTGCTTTCCACCAATGAAAGAGGCATTCATCTGAATCTCACTATATCTATCATAAACATTTGGAAACATGGATGTGTTGTTATAAGCGGATGATGAAGACTTGTGGCGAAAGATGGGCGTAGTTTGTTCCACTACCAAAGCCTCCATCCTGCAATAATAACAAAATGAGCATTATCCCTGTGGCAGAATTTTTTTTGGCCTTTCTGCAACAAAACTCTCTAGCACTAATATCAAAATACTCTTCAAGATACTTTTTATTATAACAAACATATATGTTACTATTTAAAATAACAAAAGCGCTATGTTTACAAAAAAAGCTATACATAATTTTAATCTTCTTAATGAAACATGTAATAATTTTTATGGTTGATATTCTCGCATTTTGTTTGGGGGGGTGACAAGATAATTATTTCCTTCTTCGCATTTTGTAAATAATTATCACAATATAAAAAATAATTAAAAATCATGAAATCCGTTGTAGTAATTGTTGAAAAAAAAAGTGCGAGGTCGAAATCACACGAATCGGTTTCCACAAATGCGAATTTCATTTCGAGATTCGGTTGCTGCAATAGAAAATATCGGATTTAAAAACTATGGAGAAATTAATAGCAATGACTGCCGAAAATTCGATAGAATTATTGCCTTAGAATGTAAATACTCAAATGTAAAGTTCGAATTTTCAATATTGTTTGAAACGTATTGGGATATTTAAAAATTCAAGTGAAAATCAATATCAATAACTGCCGAAAATCCAATTGAAATATTGCATCAATTCGCGATTTTATAGGCTTAAATTGAGCTCGTCAGAAAGTGATTATCTAAATAAATGATTCAATTATTGTGTGTAAATTTCTGTGGGAAAAAAAAGTAAAATGTTATAATTTTCAACAGAAAAATCTTTCTACAAGAACTCTGTAACATTCTGCGACAATGTTGCAGCAATTCTGCCAAAGGGTTATTAAATACTATACGATAAATTAATATTTGTAAAATTAGTATATGCGAATAAGAAATGATGCATTTCTATACTTTTTATCATAACTTTTTAAAAGTGAGCAAATATGTACCGGGGACAATTGTCCACAATTCAAATGCAACACGATTGCAAACACATTACGTTAATAAATACCAATTTAAAAAACTCGAATTTTTGGAAACAAAGTGATTAAGAGCCTGAATATAATAAAAATAAGTTATCAAAATACAATAAATTGAATAAAAGGAAACTTAATAGCTGCAAAAATGTACCATATAAGAACAATCATGATCACATTGCATCTCTTGATCGTAATTTGATTTGTAAATTTTTTTTAGTAACTATTAGACTGCGTTTTTATTATTAAAAACACCAAAAGACATTTTTACTTGTAATTAGAGTGTCAGAAAAAATATACAAAGGGACATCAGTGCACCATCTGCTAGGACTGGGCGATGTTCACGATATATTGATTGATAAGCGATTATATTCCTAAAATAAACTCAATCTGAGTTACACATAGAAAGGAATGCATAAAAAAGTTAAGCGAATCCTGGAATAAAAGCAATCACTATTTCCGATGCTTCCAAAAATAGCCAATCCAAACATCGAATTGGCGATGATTGCACAACATCAATGTTTTCCAATTTATCGCCTAGTCCTACCATCTGCATCAAAAATTTTAACACTAAAAAAATATATTTTTCAAAAATTTAATTGAAATACATTTGTAAATATTTTCAGAGATAATAAAATAATATACTTAATGATGTGTATTAATAATTATATGCATATGTCTGGCATTTATTTGGTACCGTTATTATTCTTTAAGTTATTTTGCACATATTTATCAAATGTAATTTAATATTTTCATACATGTTCACCATCATACAAATATTTTACATTTACAATATATACATATTTACATTTACAATATATTACATCTTACTATTATTTATCTGACTCGTATTAAATGTTTTATCAGATAAACAAAAGTGTGAGAGAAAATTTATGATTGATGACAAAACTATTAGTTTTACCAGGGCCTGATCTAGTAATACGGGAGCTGCAGGCAAAGAACTGCAAAGACCTCCACAGGTTGTAGCCTTAAACCATGTTGGGGGAATATTATCTCGGAAATTTTGCATATATCACAAGAATATTATAGAAGATATCTGTCAAATATTACGTCATGGTATTTATATAATATTTCAAAATGTCTGACTTTTGAAGCTCTTTAATGAGCTGAAAAAATTTTGAAAGGAATATTTTTTAGAAAATTTTTTCCGTTGTTTGTGCTATTTGGGTATTGTAGCCCCCAGAGGCAGAATCATTGCAAAAAGGTGACACTGTCGCAGAACATTATGGAGTTCTTGTAAAAGGATTTTTTCGTTGGGAAGTAAAAAATTTTGGTTTTCTTTTCTGCAAAAATTTTCATTCTATTTTGTTGAATTCCAAGCGCAAAGGGAAATCAAACAAGTATTTTCTTCTAAAAAATATATTAAATATTTCCGAAAACAAAAAATTCTATAAGAATATGTTACCTTAGGGTACAATGTTTAATTGCGATAAAATAATAAGAAAAAGAATCATAACTAAATTGTAAGTTAATTAAAAGTGCTTGTAAAAGAGGGGACAAATCAAATCCCACATTTTTTACATGCACTGTTATTTACACTAAATTCTGTGATTTGGATCATCCTAAACATTATCTGCAATTTTTTTTTTTTTTTAAATCATCACATTTCAAGGTAAAAAAAAGTATTAAGAGACTTTTGAAATTGCAAAAATATTTTTATTAAGTTCAAATAATGCATCATAACAGAGAGGACATGAAATGTAACAGAGGGGACGTCTTACAAATTTGACAAAAAGTTAAAGGTAAATATCACTGTTAAAAGTGACTCTTCAGTTATTTAAAGTTGGAGTTGGCAGCACCGCTATATTTGAAATTTTGAGAAACTGAGGGGGCATTTAGTTTTGTCTTCTCTGTTACATCCCCACTGCCGCATGAGAAACTTTAAAATTTAATTTTTTTTTTTTAAAAATATAACATAACATGATAGTACTAATAGACTTTATTGTAAAAACTAGTTATTAAGTTAAAAGGTTTTTTGTGTAATGAATAAAATAAACTTATAAGAATAATTGTAACAGAGGGGACAAAGATATATTAGAGATAATTTTTAACATAAAAAAGAAGAAAAAATTTTTTTTGATGGAATCACGGCATAATTAGACTAATGAACAATTTATTTTGCAATATAAATCCAACAATATGAAAAATCGTAATATTTTTAATAACTTATTCGTATTTTTAAAAAAAGAATTTTTTTGACAGAATTAGACAAAATCATGAATGCTCTCTATTTACAATAAATTTTACTATAATTATGCATAACTCCTAAAAATAACTTCTGAATTCATAAATTAGAACAAATTTTCTTTTAAACACACACAGTTCGCAGTTTTTAAAACCCTATATTTTTAATAGGATATTTTTTATTACAACTGAATCTCAAAATAAAAGCACGGATTTAGTAATCCCTTTTTGAAGTGTCCGATTCGCGTGATTTAGCCATCAATCTTCTTTCTTTCGTTGCTAGTTACTGCTACTGATTTCTCGATTTTTTTTTTATTTGATGATTTACACAATTCAAAAAAGGAAATAATTAGAATGTTTTCCCCCAATAAAATGCGAGAATATCGACAAAAATATAACATAATCAAATAAAAAAAGTTATATAATTTTATTTTAACTGAAAGTTTTTATTTCTAAGTTAACGTTTTTATTATTTCAAATTAGTAAAATGTATATTTATGTTATTCTTAAAATTATCTTGCAGAAAGATATTAGCATTAGAGTGCCATGTCGCAGAAAGCCCGAAAAATTTTTGCCACATGAAGTGTATCTTTTTTGAAGTTCATGCATAAGCAGTCATTACAAAAGCCATCTTCATTATTTACAAGTGGAAATTTATTATGGTTCACAAAAATTTACGGTTTTCTTTTGTATTTGATTTTTGAAAAAAAAAATCATCCATTTGAATCATGATGAACAATTATTTAAATAATTTATCACGTTTTAAAAGAGATTTTTGGCAAAACAAAAAAAATATAGCAGAGCTGTTAAACATTACCGTAGTTGCTTTAATTTCTGAGCATCTAAATTAAACGTGTTGTCATCAGTTTGTCGACTTTTTTCTTTATTTATCCTCCTTACATCCTTACGAATTTGCTTGCATAGCAATTTCTCTGTTTCAGACTAAAACAAATGAAAAATAAAGGCAACTTGTGAATAAATTTGATGGAAACTATCAAAAAAGTAATACAAGGAGTGATCAAATGAAAAGGTACGAAACAACGTAAAAACATATCAGCTAAATATTTGCTTATTCCGCCATGGGAGAACGTAGCGAGACATCTCGGAATGCAATTGGAGTCTCTGACTGGGATCGGAGCATGCGCAAGTGCCCGCATGCGCAGGAGAGAGCAGAGGCTCTTATCAAAAGTGGCATCCAAATGATGCGGCAGTCTGTATGAGGACAGGATGGCTTTCGCATTGCAAAATTCGACGATTGAGGAGCAGCGAGGTGTTATCCGATTTCCTCGAGCACAGAAAAACCATTAACTCTGATGTGTACTGTGAGACACTCTGACGCCTGCGCAGGTCCATCAAGAACAAAAGAAAGGGCTGCTCACGGAGGGTGTGATAATGCGCATCCACACGTCTCCAGAGTCACACACATGGAACTGTTCAAGTGGGACACATTGGACCATTCGCCCTACAATCCGGACATGTCGCCCTGCGATTTCCATGTGTTTGGTTGACTGAAGAAACACCTGAAAGGGAAGCTCTTCAACTCGGACGACGTACTCAAGGACTCCGTGAAGGACTGGGTCTCGTAACAGCCACAGAAATTCGGGGGGAAAGGAATCCTGCGGCTTGTTCATCAGTGGGATCGTTGTGCTTAGGCCTATGGTGTATATTTTGAATGAAGTCTACATTTGTACCCACCGTGTTGTTTCGTACCTTTTCATTTCATCACCCCTTGTAAAATATATACAGTGTAAGGCTTGAAAATTATATCAAGGTGTGTAACCAAATCTTTCAACAACAAATAAGCACCTTTTAAGCACTAAAAAAAATTTTTTAAGCACTATATACAGTAAGAAAATGCAAAATAATTTTCAAAGACTTTAGATGATCATCATGATAAAATAACCAGTTTCTGACAACAAACTCTTTTCTTGATTACATTAGTCGTTATAAAATGATCGAGAGATTTTTCGTTTGATATCAGAGTGTGGAAAATGAAGTCTTAAATTGATAATATCTTGCAAAATGCAGCAGAGTTGCACATAAGAAGGCAATAATCTCACTGAACCCAGCTCAGTAGACGCACATACGGACTCGTAAGTATTTCATCAAACATGCAAAACGATTGGCACTTTCATATGCTATGGATCGATGATACGCCGAAATGAATTGTGAAAACGTTGAATAGAACAATGTGAAAAGCACATAAAAAAAATAGCTAAAATCATGACATTACAAGACAAATTTTGTTCAATATCGAAATCCATGACTTTCCAAGTGCGCAGATACCCTGTTTTCATTAATGCTTATGTTTGCCAGATATGTTATGACACCGTATTTTAATTATGGTGTTGAAATTGATGTAGTTGAAGGGTATGCGAGCACGAAAAACCTACAGCCTTTCCGTAGGAGTAAAATACAAAAAAATGTAAAAGAATAAAACAAACCTGAATAGTAACTTGTGTCGTGTAAGAAGGATGTTTCTCATTGTTATAAGATTCTTCATGAGATTTGGTTGAAATAATTTCACTCCTATGATGCAAAATTGTCTGTATAAGTTCAATACATTCAAAGCCAAGAAGATCAAAGAGCTGCAAAATGAAAGATTTCTGACTTGAGCAAATAAATGAAAATAAAACTTTGTTGTGATTAAAACTTTATATCTCAATACCCTGAATTTGAGAAGAAAAAAAATTATGATATATTATTTTATGCACATAAAAAATTATTATGAAATTTTAGATAATGAAATAAAAATGTATTTAAAAAATTTTTGTTACATTTTTACATTATGCAAAAAGACAAAACATTGGTTCTTTCATTTCTGCAAGATTGTGAAAAATGGACGTAAAGGTGTAAATATTCAAAGAATTTAAATTTAATAAATTTAATTCAATTTCAGTCAGTGTACTCCCTAAGCGTTTTTTAAAGGGCGGCCCGCCTTGATTGCCCTTTGATCCCAATAAATACACCTTTTTTGTAAAAATAAACAGCCATCCTTGAAAAACACAGTCTTTTTTTTTCAGATTCCATCTTGAAAAAAATTAATTCATTGTTTAAATAATAATTACACATTGGTAAAATTATCTGTGTTCATAGGTTAAGTTCTGGTTATTATTCTCTTAGGATTATAATTCTGGTTAGGATTATTTTCAACTGGTTAAATTTTTATAAGTTTCTTTTTTGTTTGGCAGGGGAGGTTATTAATAAATTAAAATGATTTTAAATTCCAAAACTATTTTTTAAATAAATATCTTTTTTTTTAAAAAAAGTGCATCTTTTAAGTTTTCTTTTATAATTTTTAGTTTAAATTATAGAAAAAAGCTATCAAGCTGTTTATCAATTACAGTAGAGCGCCGATTATCCGAACTATGTCCGAATTCGCTTTTTTTTTCCTTCTCTTTTTTAAGTTTAGAATTTTTTTTAACTTATCGACAATTTTTCTAAATTTAGAGGAATAGATAATATCCACTACATCTGAAGACCATATTCAATTTACAACCTTTTTCAGCAGTTTTCTTATAGTAGCCATATATACATGCATTGTTATACAGTTAAACCTACATACCCCTTTAGCCCTCTTCAACTGAAAATTATCATCAAAGAATGCGAGCTTCATTTTGACAATCTGACAATCTACAAATGTTGGAAAATGGAATGTGTTTATGAATAGATAAGTGCTGAAATTCTACAATTGGGGGATGGGTAGTTGTCACTCATGGTTAACCCTNTGGAATTAGGCTTAACATCGAAAAACCCTCCGGCCCTGGGGAGACACACGCTAGAGAGACTGCCGGCCTCAGCGGTAAGCGCGCTTTCGCGCTTTGCGTCGCGAAAGGGTTAATGATCAGTGATTACAGTGCTTGGAATCTTAAATCTTGGAATAAAATTCTTAACTGCAGTTTGTGAATCGGTAGATCTTTCGGGTGAAAATATGCCAGATTATACAGCAGAAGAAGTAGAAGACTGGTGTCGAGACACTCAAATTTTAAATGATCATGAAATTGTTTCTAAAATTTTGAATGAAAATCGGAACTCCTCAGATTAAGAGGAAGAAGTACATGATCAAGTTCAAGATAGTGGAAATTCTCATAAGAGGCATGCAATTCATTAGATATTGCAATGAATTGCCCAGAATGCCAAAATGATGTTGATCCAATTCAGTTGATTTATTTAAAAAGAATAAGGGATATGGCTGCACAAAAAAGAGCATGCTCTTTGAAACAAAAGTCTTTGCTGGATATCTTTTGCAATGGAAAATAAAGAAAAATGTGGTAAAATTAGTAATTGACAAAAAAAATTATAAAAAAGCCGAAATATGATAAAAATGATTCAAATTGAAAAAAAAAGTTTAAAAAAATATATTTAAAAATTGAAAAAAAAAAGTTTTAAACTCGCCAGAGCTATTTTAGATAGTACTACCAGTCCTAAGTCTAGAAAAAGTGTGAAGAGAAGTTGGTGCATAAATAATAATCATTTAAACTAGGTTTTAAACAACTTTCCAATTATCCGAACATTTCATTATCCAAATCACGTTCGGTCCCGAGCAGTTCGGATAGTCAGCGCTCTACTGTAATTGCTTTTTTGTTAGTTAACTTTAAAAAATAATATGTACAGAGATTACCTTTTAGAATGTCTTTAATTATTTTTATAAACTACAGACTTTTCTCATATTTTGATAATGAGAGCAGGGGTCTGTCTAGGTTTTTCTGAGAGGTACCTAATTTGTGAAAAGTTAGACATAATTTGTGAAAATTAAAAATGATATTAAAAACTCAAGACAAATATATGGATTTATGGTTTCTTATGGGATACAAAAATAAAATTTTAAGAAAACGTATTTTGTGAAACTACCGTTTTTCCTAAAGTTGAATTTGTGAAGGTACTGCTAAACGGTAGTAAATTTAGCCTGGACAGGGAATTGCTTTCTGAAATATACTCATAAGGTAGCATGAGAGGGTAATTTAAAAAATGTTGAAGATAAAATTCAGTTATTACATAATATTACACATTTTGATAAATATTTACAATGTTAAATTATTGCCCTTTCAAACCTCAAAGCGCGCTTTTTGCTTACAATGACTAAAGTCACATGATTTAATGTATAACTAGTATAATGACTTTTTACACTTTTCTCCGCTCACAACAAAATAAAGGAATCAGTTCAAATAAATAGTAATTTAATTGTTCTAACTGTTTCAAGCAATAAATTTGTTTGAGCAAACAAATTTAAATTCTGGAATTAATGAAATTATTCAATTCAATTGATCCCTGGATTGAGCATCAATGAAATGTTAACATTCTACTCCCCTAAAGGAAAAATATACGAAAAATTTAGATTTATAATTTGTGAAAAGATTAAAAAAAATACATTAAAACTATTTGCTAAACATATAAATTACAGTCCCCATGGCAGAACTTTTTCGTGCTCTCTGCGACATACCTCTCTAATACTAACATATTTCTGCAAGATTCTTTTAAAAATAACAATTTATATGTTATTAAACTAAAGTAACATAAATGTCAACTTCCAAAATAAAAAACTTTTTAGATCAATAAAATAATCTTTTAATTAAATATGAAATATTTTTTTATTCTAATATTATAGGCGATATTTTCGCATTTTGTAGAGGGAAAACACACTAATGATTTTCTTTTTCGCACATCATCATCACATTAAAAAAATAATTTAAAAAATCGTTAAATCTGTAGCATTTACTAATGGAGAAATAAAATGATTGCCGACAAAATCATGCAAATCGGACTATTGAAAAAAGGGTTACTAAATGAGTATTTTTATTTCGAGATACAGCTGTTGTAATAAAGAATATCAGATTTTAAAAACTATGTGGAAATCAATAGTAATAACTGCATAAAAAAAATTTGAACGAAAATTTCTACAGAGATGAAAATAAAATTTTTTACTTCATTATTCTTTATTTTATTTATTATTCTCAAATGAGAATAGAAAAATCACAAACATATTTTTCCACTCCGATGCACGAGAAAGGCATCTTTTGAATATAATTCTGGAAAAAAGTAAAAATCTTCTGAAAATTTCAGCAGAAAAAAAACCCCAAATTTTTTTCCTTCCCAAAAACTAAAATCTTTCCGCAAAAACTCAGTAAAGTTCTATGACAATGTCGTCGTATCGCCTTGATTCTACAACGGAGATTACAGCTCTAAAATGAGTTGTAATCTAAAATTTTTATCCATTTAAAAACAATGCAACCTGTTGTGTTTTTTGCATTGTGTATAATTGTATTTACTTTTCATTACATGAATAAATAAGGAACAATAAAAAAGACAATCAATAATTCATCTTGATTTTACGAAAAATGAAAAATATATATGTAAGCTAAGTAAACAGTCAGCTGTTTTGCATCAAATAATTTTAAAGCAGCAGAGTGTTTTTATTTTCTTAACAAGTTCAATTATCCACGATTCTAGGCTTCTGTTTATTAAGAACTTGACCATAGTTTAAATACGAGCATTTAATTTAAAAGAAAACCTAAATTAAAATAAAATACTTAAAATAGATTAGTATATTATTGAAAAATAATCAAAGTGGTAGCAAAAAGAATAAAAAATAGAGTAAAAGATAATAGAGTAATAGAATATAGTAAAAGTGAAATTAAATAGTTTGTAAAATAGTCCAGGGAAACACACACGACTAGGTAAATAAAATCTTAATCTTAAAATAAAAAATTTATTTTAAGATTAAGACACTGAAGATGATATACAACATGTTGAGAAATTTTAAGGTGCTTAAAAATATTGATAACATGTTCGGCAACTTTATTCTCTTTCTAGGGACTTGAAATAGCAAAACGAAAATTCTAATAATGATCGTTGATATTGCAATTTTATTCAAGAAGTTATAACAATACCTTTTATAAAACTTTTATATTTATTTAATTTGTAATTGCTTGATAGCTATAAAATATATATTGTAGAAATTGATAAATATATTATTATAAATATATTACTCCAAATCAATGCATATGTATGTATATTATTGAAATTGTATCAATTATTCAATGAACCGACTTAAAATAAAATTTTAAAAAAAGGAGATGTACAACAAGATTCTATCAGGAACATGTCTTTATTAAACTCAACATTCCTCGAATATAATGTTTTATTCAAACCTCTTTGGTAAATTACGAATAAACTTTCAGGCAATTTAAAAAGAAACATGGTATGTCATAATTTTAAAAAAAATTAACTCCCGACTATCAGCGGAAAAAATATAAATTAAATTTTATGTCAACTTTCTTGGAAGTTAACCACATTTGAATATTAATCGCCCCATTTAAATATTTATTGATTGTCGAGAAATTATTTTATAAAAAATAATTCATTTCAATTTTACTCGACTTCTACTAAATAAAAACAGTCGTAATTTTTGATTTTGCAATTGAAAAATACGTAGAGTTATATGGTATCAAAAAAACTGATGCCTCATAATTCACTTTTTTTTTATTCACAATGAAATTAAATAATTATTAAAAATTATTGTTTATATGAAATTATTTTTGGGTAAACTGGTTTCATGAGTGGATGAAATTGCCCAATTAATTTTAAAGCAAAATGTGACATTAAGAGGACTAAACTATTAGAGGGATACAATTTTCATATGACCTATATTTTTAAGGTAAAGAATCCAAATATGTCTATTCAGAGAAAGTATGTTTTTGTGTCTGATTTTGTAACTTAATTAGTTATTAGCAATAAATAATTAGCATATTTGAGGTCACCCTAAGAAACTATTAAGATTGACACTCAGTATGTGAAAATCCAATCATTAGGATGAAAGTTATTCAGAGTGATATCCTTTTATATTTTTGCACATAGCTTTAAAGTTTTCTTTTGAAAATCAAGCCCATTTTTTTTTTTTTGCTTTTCTATATAATTGTTTGTTTTAATTGGTATTTTAAAGATAGTGATTAAGATAGAGATTAAGTGATTAAGATAGTGATTAAGATAGAGATAAAGATAGTGATTAAGATAGAGATTTAAAGATAGAGATTAGTACCCAGTCAAATAAATATTTGCTACATCGCTTTAATTTTGTTAAAATGGCCATTAACCCTTTATAAAGCCATTGCCCCCCATCAATGGGAAACTATTTTCATACCTCTGATTTGTGAGGCCATCTTTTGATAACTTCAGAAAATAAAGGAAAAAACATACCAATAAAGAGGTTTTTCCCCCACATAAGTTAAGACGAATGCGAGATCAAGAAGAGAGGCTGACACGAGAGATTATATTAAATAATTATAATTAGGCAACATTTTGAGGAGAGATACTTAAATTAACACTAAACATACCATAACAGGTCAAATGATCCCTTGATAACTTTTGCATCAAAAAAATTACAGAATTCCTACTAGAATTTGGATGTAATGAGCGTATTACATTCGATTAGTTGCACATTTCTGCAAAGACTGTTGCGTAGTTGGTTCAATCAGAATAACTGTGAATTCAAGTTTTAAGAAAGTACCTAAAATTTTAGATTAGCATAGTTGTGTCAGAAAAAATGTCAAAAAATAAATGTTTTGGTAAATAGCAGGGTTGGCAAGATTTTGCCGCAGGTGGAAAAAACCATGGAAAATACCGGTAAAAACCGTCCTGGCAAAAACAGGTTTTTGCCAAGCAAAGTGGCAAAAAGTGGCAAAAACCTATATTTTCCAAGATGAGAGGACAAAAACACATTTTTGATACAAAATTATTCCTAAAATTGAAATATATACTATAAATATAAATAATTACAAAAAAATTAACAAAATTATTATTCCATAATTAAATGATAATGTAATAATATATCATTTTAGTAGTTTAAAACATTATTGATTGGAAAATTTGTGATTATTCTCTTTTTTCCAGTGAAATGAACTTATTTTAAATTAATATAACTATAATTTAAAGCATAAAATATCTATCAACATGTGTAGTTAATTATTGTACAAATAATAATTTTTTATAATAAATAATAATATTATACAAATAATAATATTTATTTATTTGTAAAAAAACATTTATTTTAGGATTCTAAAATGAAAAGAGATCAAAAACTTTCAATCTTTTAAAAATTATTACCCTTATATTAATTATTAATATGTTAAAAATAATTTTTTCATGTAATGTATCAAAATTATTATTCCTTATGATTGATTTAAATTTGTTTCAAGTATTTTGTAATAATATTTAATCAGCAATTTAGATAATTTGGTTTTTGCCGGTTTTTACTGGTTTTTGCCGGTTTTTACCAGTTTTTGCCGGTTTTTACCAGGTTTTTGCCACTGTCCTGGCAAAAAACCCTTTTTGCCGGCAAAAACTCCAACCCTGGTAAATAGCTTATATTTTATTTTGATATTTTCATTTTATTTTTAACTAACTGTTAGTTTTTACCCAGAAAAACGTCAATACAATCGAGACAGCACAAGTTCTTAGAAGAAATAATATTAACTATAAGAATTATAATTATTATACATTCTTCTAATTATAACAATAATTTTAAGAATTATAGAAATAATAATAATTAGAAGAAATATGTTTGTGAAAAATGCACAATGCAAACACCCTGTATGTGTTAAAAATGCGTTGAGCAATGAATTAAAAATTCTAATTCTTTGTGTTTGCAATACAAGAAAATTGGCACTATACAGTTTTGTTTAATTATAATAAAGTGTTTTTAGTTTTATTTCCTTCCTAACATCCATATTTCATGAACTGAATCAAGAAACAAAGTCCGGTCATTTGTCTGGCTATGATAGGCATAGATTAAGTGTTGGTATGTTTAGTGTTCCAAATGCACCAGTAAATGAAACAAAGAAATGATAATTACTTCATTCTGTAGTTCATCACTTGACCTGGATGATTTTAGAAGTTGAAAAACTGAGATTGCCAGCTCAGTAGACGACAGATTAGTAGTCCTAAGAGACTTCTCTAGCACATTTTCCAGCCAGCATCGATCAAACTTTTGAGGAGGAAGTATAACTCTTCTCAACTCTGGTGGCTCTTCTGAATGTTCCACGGAATGGAATTTAAAGCTCAAGCTATTGAACACATTGCGGTTCTTTTCAATCGGAGAAAGTTTAAAAGGGATCACAAAGAAACTTTCGTCAAGGGGCACTTGGTGAAAGAATTTTATTTTTGTTCCAAATTCCTCTTCCATCAAACCAATATCACTCTTCGCAAAACCGTATTCCTGATACTTCTCCCTGATGTCAGAGTCTAAAAAACCCATCAATTTCTGGACGCAGTCGAAGGCCTTCGCGTCGAGGGGAGGACGAACAACGCCAAACATACTTCGAAGCTGAAGTTTCTCCTTGTGTCCTATGGCCGTGCAATTGCGAAAAACTTCGATGAGATACACGATAAACTCTTCCAGAACCAAAGGTGATATTGCCTCGGACCCAGCTGAAATTTCAATGGAGCACAATTAAGAATAGAAATTGCAAACAAACATTTTATAACCATCGTTGACAGGGGTAATTGTGTCACAAAGTGAAAAACCCTGAATATTTTATGTGCAAAATATCAATTTATTTGTCATACATGTTTTATACTAAACATAATTTTCCTCAATAAGATTTATAATTAAATTACCTACTAATGATGAATCTTTATAGTAACTAATCTTAGTTCTTACAGGAATCGTATGCTTTTGAAAATCACGTGAATATGAGTCGCGAAATTGGATTTTAAAATCATGAGACTATTATTGTAAAATTGCGTGAATACGAATCGTGATGTAAGATTTTTAAACCATGTAAATACGAATAGCAACGTGCAACTTTTAGATTAGATAAATATGAAATTCGATGTTCGATATTCAAATCGTGTAAATATGAATCGCGATACAAACGGATTCCTGCGCAGATTTAAATATTCAAAATGGCAAAAGTCTGCCAAACCAAAAGAATCAATTGGCGGATTTCTGCCCATTGAAAGAAGAATCACGTGTATGTAAGTGTCTCGTTATCGTAAATTAGTGAAAGTTTCCAAATTTGGATTTTAGATTGAGGAATTCAGGGAATATTCGTCGGATTATAAAATTTGATTAGAGAAAGTCTGAGAACCGACGGTCTTGAGTCAAGCGGGATTCCCAGAAAAACTATATGCCCTGCTCTTAATTTTTTCACCCAGAAGCATAATACGAAAAACCCGGAATTCCGGGAAACCTCCAGAATTCAAACACCCCTGCGTTGAACAGTCGACCCATTTTGTAGGGTTTACAACTCCTTAGAAGCCTTGTAATTTTGAACCCAATCCAAAAGACATGGGAAATCCTGGATGAAGTATTAGGAGACATTTGCCTTTGTGGAGGACTTTTTGATGGAACCAACACGCATGTGAGCTAAATGGAGAGGAGAATCTCCCTTGATTACAATGACAGCAAGGGGACTCTCAACCCATGATCCGTCTACCACTGAGTATATTTTAGGTTAGCACAGTGGTCCGTGCAGCATTTGTGTCGACCAGCCATTGCTGGGATTTGAATCCTGTTTATCTCATTGGAAGGCGAAAGCTCTATCCCCTGAACTGCCACAGCTCTAGAAAACAAATATTGCACAGACGTAAGGGCTGAAGGTTTGATCTGGCTAAATAATAAATGATGATTCAGTCGATGTAACAACTTATATACTGAATATTCTTTTTACAATATAAAATTATATTTTATTTAATCTGTTAACTAAGTATGATAAGCGTCATGGAAATTAAGGTGTGATGGTATGAGTTATAGCTATGAAAAATAACTTGAACAATAGATTATTTCTGGTAAATAGTTATACTCATAATATACCTATAATCATTGCTAATGTGTATTTTTTTTTTTAAATAAATAATTATCTGAAAATAAAATTCAACCAATTTTAAACTCATAAGATTATCAACTCAGCATAGCTGCCAACATGGATAGGAAAATATCAAGGATATTTTACAAAATAATATAAATTTTATGATAATTGTTGCGTAATGTATTAAATTTTACAAATAAGGAATTTTATAGTCATCAAAATAGAAAAAAAGCAATATTTTCCAGTTATGATTGACATTAAACATACTTGAAATGTTATGTATTAAGTTTACTCATAATTTCGAATATTAATAGGCATTTAATTCAAAGACAGTTAAAAGACTTTTTTTAATTAATTTAAAAAGAGAGTTATAAATAAAAATACACTGTACATTTTAGAACAAAATAACTTTTGAACTAATTTCTACAAATAATGATTGCTGCATAATATATAAGTAATACTTATTTAAATTTTCCAGCAAGCAATAATCAGTGCAAAAAATTCTATTGCAATAGGGATTTATTTATTTATTTATTTNTTTTTTTTTTTTTTTTTTTTTTTTGGAAAACTTACAAGATTTTAGGAAATTAAATCAAAAGCTGAATTTTCATTATTAATATAAATAAAAATATGAGGATGTCCATTACTTGCACATCCACACAAAATCTAAATATTTGTTGTACATAATTAAAGCCATAAAATTATTCTAGGTTGTTTATAGTCAAATGCCCTGTGGCAAAATATTTTCTAGCACTCTGCGACAAAACTCCCTAGCACTAATATTTTTCTGCAAGATGCTTTTAATAATGATAAACATATATGTTACTAATTTAAAATAACAAAAACTATTTGAATTTTTTTAATTGAACATACAATAATATTTTATTATAATAGTAGGGTCGATATTCTCGAAACTTTTTTTTTGGGGGGGGGGCAGGGGCGCACTATTTAGTTCCTTCTTCACATTTTGCAAATAATCATCACAATAAAAAAGTAATTAAAAATCATGAAATCCGTTGCTGTAAAAAAATTGACGACAAAATCACTCGAATCTGACTTCTCGAATGCGTGTTTCGAGATCAGGTTGTTGTAATAAATAATATCGTATAAAGAATATCAGATTTAAAATCTATAGAGAAATCAATAACAATAACTGTTAAAAATTCGATAGAATCGTTGCCTTAAAAAGTAAATACTCAAATGCACGATTGGAATTTTCCATATTGTTTGAAATACATAGGGACATTTAAAAACTCTGTAAAAATTAATATAAATAACTGTTTAAAAATTTAATTGAAACATTACATGGATTTGCGATAATATCGGCAGAAATTAAGGATGTCAAATGAGGGATTATCTGAATGTATGATTCAAATATTATGTGTTTTTTTTATTTACTTTTCAAAAAAAACATCTTGCCGCAAGAACTCTGTAACGTTCTGAGACAATGTCGCTGCGATTTTGCCACTGGGGTCATATGATAAAATAATTTTTACGTTAATAATTGACAAAATTAAAACTATATATATGCATATATAAGATGTTGATAAGATACAATTGTGGGTAGAGAAAGAGTAGTCTTTTACGTAATCATATTTTTAGTAGGTAGACAAAGCATCAATATCCAATTAAAAAATAACAGGCATCACCTTACACGTTCAGGATTTTAAAGGGAAAATCATACAGCTAATCCCTAACACATGCTTTACAAGGGATAATTAATCAATTATAATGGGCTGGAACACTTTGTGACAAGTTTCTCTCAGAATTTCATATTTCTTAAAAGGAAACACTTATTATGACAATTATTGCATTCTTTTACATAAAATTAGAACTTAAATGCTGGACGTGAATTACATACCATGAGAACACACAACAACGTTTAAACCTGCGCCTATGCCCCTAAAGAGGCATTTATTGGTTAATGGTTAAGGTTGCTAGACAAGACATATAGAATAAAGGGAAAACAAAAAGCAAATAGCCAACAAAAAATATATATATACATATATACATAAACTGAAAAAAGAAATAAATGTTTCGTATTAGTTAGAGCATTTTGATTAGAAAGTTTCCAGGAATAATTGGTCAAGTTTAGTAGAGGTTAGGGCTCACCATTGCATAATTTTGTCATTTTTTTATGAAAATTACTCCAGGCTTTCCTCGTATTCTTCTGGAAAATTAATCAGGTTGGTTGCCTTCTGTTTCAACTTAAGACTCGTATCGATAAATCTCTTCCAGGCAACGAAGACTTCTAGCTTTGGTTGTTTTAAGTGGTGTGATATGGTAAGCGGACATTGTATCACATAGTGCCCACTCCTTCACATGTGTGTCACCCTGGCTGCTAACACATGTGTTGTCAGTAGCCAGCAGAAATGTTTTAGATATGCATTGAAGAGCTCTTTACTATGAGAAGTTTCGTTTTGAATAATGAATTAAAAATGAGAATTTAGACTACGAAATAACATAAAAAGATTTGTCTAAGCTTTTTGTGTTGCATATTCGCTCACCGTGTTACCATCTCATAATCTTCTTTTTTTTTAAAAAAAAAGTTTTTATTTCTGCACAAGTAATAAATTTAAAAATTTAATCTTCATTTCTCAACAGTTTTATGACTTCCTGTTAACCAGGGGTCTGTCCAGACATTTTGTAAAAGGTCCGTTTTTGAAAAATTGTGAAAAAATTACTCGTAATTTGTGAATATAAAATAAAGGTTAAGTCACATTCTATCAACCAGGGTCCGTTTTTGTGAATTTGTGCAAATAGGGTCCGTTATTGCAAAAAAAAAAACAAAAATAATAAAAAATATAAAAATAAAAAAAACTTTTTCAAGGAGTTTTTAAATTGTAAAGGCATACAAGATTATGCTCAACACTGTAAAATTATAATTAAAAAAATTAAATTTAAAAAAATAAAGAGCAATTGCAGCTACTAAATTAGCGATGCAACATATAAATATTTGGTATTTAGCCTATACTGCTGAACGCAGAATATTCTTTTCGGACGAATAAAGGAAGAAGCGTCTGCGGAAGAAAAAATTTTGTTTGTTTACATCTGTCTTTCTTCCCTCCCCCCTTCTTGGGAAGGGTTTATTCGATTAACAAAACAATAATGAAGATGAACAAATTTGTGAAGGGTCCGCTTTTAAGGTAAAATATTTTGTGAAGGATCCGTTAACGGACCCAAATTTCTTCTAAACAGACCCCTGTTAACTAAAAATAAAACAGTAAAAAACTTGAATGAAATATTCTTTTTACACTGAAGAAAGACTTAAATTCAACTTACCTAGTTTCTTAGCAATGTCCATTAATTCCATAAACTTCTCATTAATTTCAGCAGCAGAATAATGAGTGGAATTTTTATACATATATTCTTTTACTCTATCCAAGGAAAACCTAAAAATTATCAAATTATACATTACTAAAAAATTTTTTGTTTAGTTAACTCATCTAAAATAATTACACAGAGCCAATGAAAGGGAATTTTCAGAAGAGCCAATCAAAGATGATATCATAACCATTAAAGTATGAATAGCCACCATGTGGACGTTAACTGATAGTAGATAGATAGTGATAAATATTTAATTAAATTTTTAAAAATTTCAAAAGCCTTAAATTATTATACATATAAGAAAAATGAATAATTTATTTATAAAAAAAATATACGTGACTATACATATTACAATACAATATTACAGATAAATATTACATAAAAATATACAATATTACATGGAAGGACAAGAAGTAAAACATTTTTGTTTTAAAATTCTCCTTCTATGATAGGATATTTCTTTAACTTATTTAAAAAAAATTACAAATATAAATATATAATTATTTTTATTTTCTGATGATTTTGTTTGTTTCTTTTCTGAATTGGTTCTATGTATTTCATGTTTTTTTCCTCGACTTCTATACAAAACCTTCGGGGTACTGAAGGAGTTAATTCAGGCATTTGCCCTCTCTCTTAATAGAAAAGCTTCTGTTTTATGGCTACCGGGGCCAGTACCCCCTGAAGACGTTGGTCATATTTTTATTTCCTTCGTTTCCATTATTGCTACAATTATCAAAAAACAATATGTTGTATGAAACTGATTATAATTATTTCAAATTAAATTGCTGGGGGACGTAAATCACATGAAAGAAAAAAATGAATACTCCTTAACAAATTGTCTAATTAACAAATTAATTTATTTAAAAAAAACTACAGATTAGCAAAAAACATTGAAGATAGATAATGGGCAATTTCACTGTGTCAGATGTAAAAAATTAACATAAATTTTTAGAAAAATTCTCTCGTACAATGTAGGTTGAGTTTTAAAATCATAAAATTCTTATATCAAATATTTAGTACAATATAAGATATAAAAAAAACAAAATGTTTTTATAAAAACTGATTATAATTTCAAATTAAATTGCTGGTGGACGTAAATCACATGAAAGCAAAAAATGAATACTCTTTAACAATTTGCCTAAACACTGTGAATTTCAGTTTAAATGCAAACTTCACTTAATTTTGAAGCTGATATTCGAATAAAGAATTCTATGCAGTTCTTAACTGGTAAAATATGATGTATAATAAATTAGAAAATTTTTACTTCAATGTCAGACGTAAATTCTACAATATAAATTTAAGTTATGATAATTACTGAAAATTACTACAATTATAAATATACTGAAAATTGATTAAATTTTTTTTAAATTCCAAAAGCGTTATTTTTTTCCATTAAATAACTTCAAATTAAAATTGTCCTCTATTTCCTGTTGGAATATGCGGATAGATGTGTTTTAAACATTTTTCATCCTGTAAAATTCGGTTGAAAAATCACTAATTTTAATTGTTTAGCATATATTTACAACAATGTAAATACAACTCTAATTTAAGCAATATTTCAATAAATCTTATAATTTTAAAAATCCTGGAGAAAAAATTAATAACTGTCGCTAAAAATTTTCCTATATTTTCTAAATAACATAGGAAAAAAAATTCAGAAAAGCTTAAAATTTTTTTAATATAATAGATTGAAAAAATATATTGCCGTATAATAAAAGAAATATATATTTTTTACTATATTAACAGTTTGTAATAATTTTTTCTGCAAAAAAAATATATATATTTTCATTCAGGTAAAATAATTTTTCTAAACATAGGAAAAATATGCAGAAAAGTTTAAAATTTTTTTAATACAATAAATGGGAAGAATATGTTACTGTACATTAAATTATAATAATTTTTTCTCTCTTTTAAATACCCTGCCCCCCGTTTCATTTGCCAATTAAAGGCCCAATAACTACTTCCAATTTTTATCCTGTTTACCTAAAAATTTAATAGGATGTGTATTACTATTGTAGTTTGCTTTCCATGTAGCTCAATTATTTATAAATTAATTCTCACAAATTGGCGAGATAATAAAAAACCATAAACACGCATGCGTCAATCAAAAGCGTTAAACATTTAAGCGTCATGGAAACTACATTACTTCATGTACATACATTAATTTGAAACCAACTCAAATGAATGTTCTTGCATTGTCTATTTATGTTGATTTAAAATTGTGAAATCCAATTCAACATAAAATTTAATTAATGAATTAATTTACGGAATCTAAAAAAGTTCCCTTAAGTCTAACATTATATCATCCATATATTTATTAGATACAAGTCAGGGGATGCAAAAACTGAGTTTGTCCCCATTGTTGTAAGTCCCAACTACACATTTGTTTGTATTAGTATGGCTTGGAACTTAACATCTGAATGCATACGTCAAACCTTTACAAAGGATTTGTTTTAACCTAAGCATGTGCCTAAGCTGAAGAACAGTTTCAGAATACAAGCCTGGTTGATTCACTACTTATTCATTAATTAACACACTGATTAAGGTGCAGAATTTCCTTTTCGTGATCTGATTAGCCATTTCTAATCCACCAAATGGATTTCAAATTCTTTTTTTAAAAAAATTATGACTAGATTTGGCCAGGGTTGTTATACCTTTTGAGTGGGTCACCTTCAGTGATGTTTTTCTAGTCTCTTGCAGTTGCTGCCCAAAAGTTGCCTATTATTCTCAGGATACATAATAAATTATATTGTATTCTGTTATATTATTTCCTGATACGGAAATGTTCCCAATGATACCAACACACTAATCATTTAATGACTGTTAAATAATAATTTAAAATTTTATGTAAAATAACTATTTAACGTTTATTGTTGACATTGTCAAACAATACTTAAAATACATTGCTACCTTTAAAAGCAAACTACTATATTTCTATACGATACCCATTCGGTACTTGCACTTCCAGAAGATCACGGATACCCACACACGTGACCCATGTCGTCAGCGCTTACTGATCCTGTCTGGCCTAAGTTTCCCCACATATGTTAGAATGTTAATTAATTAAATACAGCATCCTATTTCACATCATGAACTATCTCATCTACATCCTATCTTAGATTAACTATACTTAATTAACTATTTGTTTTAATATTTTATTGCATCCCTGATATATTTTATTTTTGCGTACCGGGCAACTTCAATGCATATTAAGTTTGCTTATGTTTTACACGACTTCGTACCTGTATTTGTGTTGAATAACAAATACATAGTGAAAGAATCCTTGTGAAAGAATGTGTCACTAAAGAGAATTGATACTCGACGGACATTGCTTACTCGAAATAGAACAGGAAACAACAGTTGTTAACAAATGTTGCATTTTATCAACCGATCAAAATACCCACAATACGCCCCTTGAAGGTATTCCATTACAAAAACTGGAAAGTGGTACAATAGCGATTACAGTATCAGGATTCATCGTGGCGACACGGCAGTGGTATAATAGTGTTGTCACACAAATTTACTGAGTTCTTGCAGAAGAATTTTTTCTTTGGGAAATAAAAAATTTTGCTTTTCTTTTCAGGGGCATTTCCGTATCGTGACCTGTTGCGCCAACTACAATCACTGGGTTGTCAAATAGATTTTAAACTTGCAAATTAAAAATAAAAAAAAAACATATAGAGTTTGTCCCTTTTTGTGATGTTTTTTTTTTAGTTTCTTGTGGGCCAGTGCCCAGAAGTTTCCCAGACTTGGCGATTATTCTGCCGCAGATCAGGACACAGAAATCTCACCTTTTCTGTAGAAATTCTCGAAAGATTTTATCTTTTCTTCAGAATTATATTCAAAAGCTGCCTTTCTCGCACTTCAGAGTTGGGGGGGGGATGCTTGTGACTTTTCTATTCTCATTGGAGAATAATGAAAAATAAAGAAATAATGAAGTAAAAAATTTGGTTTCCTCCTCTGTGGAAATTTTAATTCCTATTTTTCATGCAGTTATTATCATTTAGTTATTACTACTGATTTCCTTATTGCTTTTAAATTCCAATACTATTTATCACAACAACTATATCTCGAAATAAAACATGTTTTAAGTAACCCTTTTTTGAAGAGTCCGATTCAGGTGATTTTGTCCATCTGCAGGGGTGATTGTGAGCCCAAGTCAAAATTCTGGAAAATTTCCTGAATTTGAAAAAAATACAAAAAACAGTTTAAATTGAAAAATTAGAAAAAAATTTAAACAAGGTTTTTTTACCTTTTTCTCAATATTTCTTAGTTTACTAAAAATATATTTAAAATTTTACACATACCTATACCATTTACACATACCTATGATGACCTGGAGAAGTAATTAAAATTTACAAATATGTCTTCTTTTTTTTTGAGTTTATGATTATAACAACTATTTAGTGATAAAAAATGAATATTAATCATGAATATAAGCTTATAAAGTATCTCTGTGGCTCTCCCTTACAAACAAATTAAATAAACTGTGTTTATAAGTTCCACCTTTAAAAATTTGATTTCCGGAAACTTAAGTGATCAATGATTTTTTGAAACGTCTGGACTTTCGATCTCCGGAAACTTCCGGATCACTGTTAGCGAAAAATCCGAAATTATCCGCCGTTACTGATACATTTTAGATTTTCAGTTTCATAACTTTTCATGACTTAATGAAGTTACTATTTTCACTGACAAAAACAGAATAAATTTCAAAAGCACTATAATAAAATTAATTAAAATGATAGGTATAACCAAAACTGTTATCCTCTGCATCTTTACATTTATTAATTTTTAATTTAAAAAACAGAATGAGTAGAAGCAATAAAATAGCTGAGCAAATATTTTTTTTTCCTAAAGAATTATATTCTAAAGATACTTTTCTTGATCATCAGAAAGGAAAAAAATACTCCTGATTTTTCTGTTCTCATTTCCAAATGAAAAAAAAATTTGCAAATGACTGGCTTGCTTCAGTTAGAATTTTAAATTGATAAAATAAAATAAATAAATAATAATAATTCTGAAATCGCAGAAGTTTAAAAGATACTTCCCTCTAGAAATGATGTTTTTTCTTTCATTTTTCGAAAAAACATAATTTTTAAAGAATATGATAATAACATTTTATATTATATTTTAATAAAATGACTCTGAGTGGGGATTTTGTTACAAATTCAGATATTCCGAACACAGTGAAATTGGGAGAGGGAAATTCCATTTTAAAAACTAACATTTTCCGGGGACCTAAATCCATGACTTTCCAGGTGTGCGAATACCCTGTTAATGTGATGATGAATTATAAAATGTGAAAAAGGATATAATTAGTGTGTTATCTTCCTACAAAATGCGAGAATATCACACATAATGTAAGAATAAAATATTAACATATTCAATCACAAAAATTATTTTATTTGATCCAATTTTTTTTTAACTAATAAAAATATTTTTTGAAATTACAGATATAGTTTATATGAAGTTTATATATTTGCCATTGTTTAATATCTTGCAGAAAGATATTAGCATTATAGAGGTACGTCGCAGAAAGAATTCTGCCACAGGGTCAGGATTCGTACCCAGATGTGATAGTAAATTGGTCACTCACTTCGCATGATATTCTCTCAGCTCTTTTCGTTTCTTTATTAATGATTCTGGATCATAGTTATAATTTCCAGCCCACGGAGCAGCAACGTCACTGAATGCACGGAGATAACTCGTTAAACGTGGAAACTCCATTGATACAGAAGTCAATAGTTTTTAAATGAATCAAGCTCACATCATTTTAAGATTACCTGCAATAAGAATTCATAAAAAATGTGCAAAAGTTATTAACATGAATTCTACTAAAAAGAATATTTTTCATCGCTTACAAGTATACGACACTTTCATATCTTTCTCATATGTAAACTTTCCCGATCACAATAAAATGTCAGCATTTTCAGCTTTTAACTCTATTATTCTACTCAGCTTTTAGCTCTTCTTCGTCTTTTAACTGCTCTTAGGTTTATTTAGCTGTTGTTGTTGTTGTTGTTGTTGTTAATTTACGTCACACTAGAGCTGCTGAGTGGGCTATTGGCGACGGTCTGGGAAACATCCCGGAAGATGATCCGAAGACATGCCATCACAGTTTTGATCCTCTGCGGAGGGGATGGCACCCCCGCTTCGGTAGCCCGACGACCTGCGCTCGAAATCGAGCACTTTACGGTAGCACAGTTTATCAAGGACCAATACCACACACCCTCGGTGCCAACGCAGACTGATCCAAGTGGTCACCCACCCGCACACTGACCGTAGCCAGTGATGCTTGACTTCGGTGACCTGCTGGGAACCGTGTCTTAACGATCAGTCCACTGCGGGACTAGGCTTATTTAGGATTTTGTAGTTGTTGTTGTTGATGATTTACGTCGCACTAGAGCTGCACAATGGGCTATTGGCGAGGGTCTGGGAAAAATCCCTGAGGATGATCCGAAAGCATGAAATCATAATTTTGATCCTCTGCAGAGGGGATGGCACCCCCGCTTCGGTTGCCCGACGACCTGCATGCTAAGTCGAGCACTTTACGGTAGAACAGTTTAACGAGGACCAATACCGCACACCCTCGGTCCTTACGCAGTCTAATGGTCACCCACCCGCACACTGACCGAAGCCAGTGATGCTTGACTTCGGTGATCTGATGGGAGCCGTGTCTTAACGATCAGTCCAATGCAGGACAGTCCCGCAGTGGACTGATCGTTTTATATACCAAACAACTTGGATCAGTCTGCGTAGGGACCGAGGGTGTGCGGTATTGGTCCTCGTTAAACTGTGCTACCGTAAAGTGCTCGACTTCGCGCGCAGGTCGTCGGGCTACCGAAGCGGGGGTGCCATCCCCTCCGCAGAGGATCAAAATTG